CTATAATTAGAGGGATCAGTATGATCACGTCCAGGTTTAGGTATGGGAACAATAATAGCATTCCGCCACGACGAAGGAAAATTTCTAGATGTCCAAATGTCATCAAAAATATGTAAGAGCGTCTCTAAACATGATTCAGGTAAGTGCTTCAGGAGTTGATAATGTATGTCAGCCCCTGAAGCAGTATCATGAGCCTGATCAAGAGCAGTATGTAGCTCATGTATCGAAAAGGTTTTATTGTAGTCTTCCCCATTATCTGAATTGAAATTAATTTATTTTCTTGTTTTTTGATATTTTTGGAATTCAGGTACATAATTAGATGAGGAAGAATGTTTGGCCAACGTCTCACCAAGTTTATTTGCAATATCTGATTTATTAGTCAATAACTAGTTCCCATCTTTCAGATGGTGAATGCTGGATTTAGAGCCCTTACCTTTGATTTTCTGGATCATGTTCCATGCCTTCGATATCGGAGTGCGTGAATTAATTTTTGAGACATAGTTCCGCCAAGATTGGCGTTTACTTTGCTTGAAAGTACGTCGTGCTTTAGCGCTAAAAAAATTTAATTTGTCTAAATTGTGGACCATAGGATGGCGACGAAAATAATTTTCTGCTTTTTTTCTTGCCTTCCTAGCCTGTTTGCAATCATCTGTAAACCATGCTTTTCGGACGTGAGGAATTGAAGAGGACTTTGGAATACACTCGTCAGCTATGTTATTTAGTTCCTCTGAAAAACATTTTATGGCATCAGGAATATCATTAAATTGTTCAGGTTTTAGTTTGTCAGCATAAAGAGTTTCATATAAAGGCCAGTTAGCTTTTTTAAAATTCCATCTTGATGAAGGAGGAACATCAGATGGAATCACGGGTTTTAATAATGTTGGGAAATGGTCACTCCCACAAAGGTTGTCGTGGACTGACCATTCGAATTCACTCAATAAGTTGGAGTCATTAATAGATAAATCAAGAGCAGAATAGGTTCCTGTGCCAGAATGTAAATAAGTATTTGTACCGTCATTATAAATGCATAAGTCATTATTTGAAATGAAATCCTCCAGTAATTTACCTTTGGCGTTTGTATTACTACCATCCCAGAGTGGGTTGTGGCCATTTAAATCCCCCATGATTAAACAGGGTTAGGTAATTGATCATAGAGATCTTGCAGATCCGTGAGTTGAACAGCTGTTGAAGGTGGGATATACAAAGAACACAAAGTAAAAGCAACCTGTAATGTAAGTCGAACTGCAACAACTTGAAGATTCGTTTTAAGAGGAACACTTCTATGAATAACATTGCTCCTCACCAGGATTGATGATCCACCAGAAGCTCTATCACCAGGAGGAGAAAAAGAATGATACGCATTAAACTGAAGTAGGTCAAAATTATCTGTCTGTTTCAGATAAGTTTGTTGTAAGCAAAACGCTGAAGGTTTATAATCTTGGACTAATAAATGTAAATCGGTTAAATTAGTCCTCAGTCCTCTACAGTTCCATTGTACTATAGGTGAGGACATTATGTCTTCGGAAGATGGACTGGAGATCTACCCCTCACCTTCCTTGAGGGCGACGAGCTATGTGTCCTACCATGGCTTTGGTCGGACACATCCAAGTCGTCAAGGGATCCAAACTTATTAAATATTTGGATCGGTTTTTTGGCCCCCTTTGGGGCTCTGTCACTTTGATTCTGTTTTGATGTTTCACTGATTTATTTGCATTTAGAAGTTTGTTTCACTAATATTGTGTCCGAGTGCGATGAATGTTTCTGAGATTTGGACTGATGTATCTCAGAACATGTCTTGGATTGAATAGCACCTTTTGATATCGTCGAAGTTTGTGAACTAGAGCTCACTTGTGGAGGCCTCGCCTTAACTTCAGTAGACAGTAGCGTGGGTGCGGAAGTCCTTGCCCATGTGTACTCTGTCTGGCAACCTACAGATACAAGTTTTGGTTTTGAAGCCTGGAGAGATGCAGAAACAGTGGTTGAGTATAACGGACCTGACTGTTCTTGTGCGAGAATAATCTTCTTCGCTTCTGGGAAGGGAATATTCCGTTCATGCTTCAGTTTGGATATCTTTGATTGTAGTTTCCACGTCGGGCAATCCTTGAAGGAAGAAGGATGGTTACCAGAACAGTTTACACAGCTGGGAGGTTTGACACAAAGACTACTGTTGTCACATGTTCCAGCACACCGATGACAAGCAGCTGGGTTATGGCACGATTTAGATCCGTGGCCATACTTTTGACAGGTGTAACACCTCAAGGGATTAGGGATAAATGTATCGACCCTTAAGATGCAAAACCAGCTTTCAGTGATTGTGGGTGTGTCGGAAGAGAAAACGTGAACAGATAAGTATTCATTTTTGTGACGCCATCATTCTTTATAACAGAGAAAGGTTTGACATCAGTAACTCCTTGGGAGCGTAATTCTCTGATGATGTCAGCTTCAGCCATATCTGAGAGGCAACGTCCTGTCACGGACGATGCCTTTGCTGCTATTCAATGTCCTGTGTGGGGAAACCTCAACAGGAACATTGGCTAAACGTTTTGTTTAGAGAAGAATCTGAGATTGGATCTGTTTCCTGCATTGGATCAACAGAGAACCAGATCGTAGTTTTTTCACTTCATTTACTTCACCAGCCAAACCTTCGCAAAGGATTCAGCTTAATAGGACCACCATCCGGTGAAGACATGACAATGAAGCGAGGCCAATTATCAGTATTGATGAGAGCAGCTGGAGTCTCATCCTCCGACGAGAACGAACCATCAGACTCGTAGGAACGTTTTCTAAGTGGGGGTGCCATGATAGAAATATATATGATTCACCCTCCTAGCTCCCTACCCACCATGGATTGTCAACAAGGACGATGTCCCATGTCTGTGGGTCTCCAACAGACGACACCAGGGATACCAGAAGGGTATACTCGAGCAGGACAATATCTCGAAAAGATATGTCCTACCAGATTGGCCCATGAGTCATTGCCTTCTGGCACCAGCATCTAGGCAGTTTTTTTAAGTTTGAAAATTCATTTAGCTTATTATATATAACAACAAACAAGTCAATAATGTTTCTAAAATCCAAGCACAATAATGATAGAGCAATGAAAGTTTTAGTGCTCAGGGCTCGGCATGACCAGCCGATTGGTTGAACCGGGCCCATTCAACCATCCGTCTAGGTGAAGTCAGGGCCGAAGTGGTGTGTTGGGCAAAGGAACACTGTTCCTGGAACCAGTGCCCTCAACCACCAGAATCCCTTCCTCCACCAACACAGGGGCGCAACCCACGGCAAACGGGTTGGTGGACCAAATATACCCCCAGGTCCACAACGGGGGGTTGAAGAGCTCAGTCCTCTCTCAGCTGATGTGCGGGAAACGTGGAACAGACTATATTATTTTTTAAAAGGTAAGCTTGGGGGTGTGAGCAAGACAGGGAAAACACTATTGAAACAGCCGAGATGCTTTAGTGACAGTCCGTTTCAGTAATGGTCTAAAAACACTGATCCTCCTATCAAAGGAGTTTGTATTGTGTATATTTAATTAGTGTCTAATTCATTTTTCTTATCTAAGATATGGTTTACATATCTTAGCCTTTTAACACTAAGCATTATATATCCAAAATGATGGCCATGTTTTTTGTAAATGAAGTTTTTTCTTCTCAGTCATTTTCCTCACAAATTTATCTATTTTCTCAATAAAGTCACTCGCGAATTAAATAATTCGTAATGAGGTTCATTTTTGTACATCTTCTCTTAGATTATCATGGATAACTACAACACATGTGTTTGGTTCGAGCTTTACCCGTCTGTTTTGCTAGGGCTCATTCCGTGTCCAAGTCAGCGAGTTTTGCCAACCTTACTCAGTTCGAGGCTATTCTCAATTGTCCGGTGTTGGTCGTGAGTGCCACATTAGGCAAAAATTTCCCACCAAAGGGCTTCGAGATGACAGAAAAATTCGTCTATTTGGTCCATGACAATCATTTTCACCGCATTCCAAACATTTGTGGATTTTTTGTCACAAAGTTACTTTCTGTCTGATAACTTTTTCACACAAATAACACTCTGAATAATAAGAACAGCCAGATTAGACTCTGTGAAAGATATGATGCTTTCTTCTTTCCGTGATCAAACTCTGGACATTACTAAACGTGTCAAAATAAGTACTCTGCCAAACAGATTTGAAGAGAAAACATTTCGTTTAGTGTACACTAAAGGGGTCATCCAGCCTGATCTGGATACATTACCCTATGGACATTAAGTAAAGAGATCAGAGAGATGAGCTGATGGGAAACCTCGGGACTAGGAATGAGCATACGTACGTCGGATACCTCAACATGGGGTAAATGAGAAATCTCGGAGGCCACACGAAGGGACACTTTTTGTATACGAACGTCACGACCTATTGACTATATGGATAAAATGGGCATCGATATAACCTATAATCATTCTTTTCACTGCTTCTCGATGATTGAAAACATTTTCATTCTCCAACATGGGTCGCACGAGAAAGGACTGTCCCCTGCCGGGTGTATCGACAAAAACTTACTACGTTTACCTAATCGCCTAACCAAAGTATATATAATTGATAAACTGCCATGGTTAAATGCGAAGAAAAAAATGAATGAACCGTTTTCGGAAGTGACACCTACAGTACCCATGAGTGCTATTCATTGATCACTGGAGCCATCATAGACCCAACCAAACCGTGGTGGGAATCGCAGAGTTTTAACACCATTGAACCCTGTTCTGGTATGTACATATCTGGTTCAACTCGGGCTGGAAAAACGTGATGGGTCGAGCGAGCTGTTCAGACAGGCCATAAACTTTGTTTGCAGTTTGTTTCCACTCAGCTGTCGAACATAAGAACAAGACATGAGGTAGGACAAGTTTAGAAATACACCACTTCGCACTTTTGAAGGCAATGTGAATATGTTGCCTTGAGTTGATGAGGTTCTTTGCTTCGGGGTCCTCTAGAAACAAACATTGAATGAAGGTAACAGAGCTTCAGTGAAATAGATAATTCTTTATTGCAACACCTCCACTGCTATGAACAGGCCTTCATAATGTTTAACTGTTGAAATATATTTACAACACACGTGATGAATACAAAATATAAATATATTTCACTTAATGGTATGTATATCATGTACAGCAGTGGTGATTGTATAACAGAATGCTTTCTTATGCACACGGGTGTGTGTTTGGTGTAATGCCACACTACAGTCCGTTTGAGTCAGAAACGGACCGTTGAATTGCACTTTTTATCATTGTACAAAATTGCCACATAAATATAAATAGTACACATGTTTATCATTTACTAATACCCAACAGCTTTCTTATATTTGAAAATTTTCCGGACTCCACCAAATGTTTTTGACACAGTTCACTATTTGTTACAAGGGAGGAGTGCAGAGAAAGGGACAGCCAGGTGTTAGAGAAGCACGTGCACAAGTGCCCACCAAGTTATTGATTCATTAGCCTGTGCTGTGCTGGGGAAAATTTTCAAATATAAGAAAGCTGTTGGGTATTAGTAAATGATAAACATGTGTACTATTTATATTTATGTGGCAATTTTGTACAATGATAAAATTTGCAATTCATTGGTCCGTTTCTGACTCAAACGGACTGTAAGCAAAATTGCAACATATGACAACAGCTTGGTACTAATGGTATAGGCACCAGACAAGCCACTAATTGAACTTGACAGTCTAAGTTTCTACATCATCTACCAATTCATCAAGCTTGACCAACGTTAACCCAGCTCTATTGTCCATCATAGACAGCTTGGGTCCAGTTTTGTAGTGTATTCCCCACAGGTCTATCTAATGCATACCATACAACTGTTAACAGCTGAAGTCAAGGTCAAGTCATGAAGCAACAACTTAAGTCCACAATGAGATGATTGTCAAACATGAACCTCTCTTGATTAAGCCTTCCTGAATTAATCATTATTACATCACTACTGTGTTGAAAAACATAAGACATTTAATCTTCCATTCACTGGTATTTACTTAATTTTGAAAAACGTAAGTAACATTGCAACTAGATTGTTAACAATGAGAAAGAAAAAAGATGAGTGTGTGAGTTACTGAACAGGGGTTGGTTATTTGAACATTAGTTCAGTGATATAAGAGCTTGTCAGTTAAAGATGTAACAATTTCTGCAGCAACAGAATTCTTAGACATAAAGGATACAAAGTATAAGTATGGTACTAAGGGGTTTCATCATTCGGCAGCTAAAGGATAAAACTCTATAGGGCAAGTTGGAGTACCTGAGCGAGTGAGTTAAGTTTTACGCCACTTTTACCAATATTCCAGCAATATCATGATGGGTGACACCAGAAATGGGCTCCACACATAGTACCCATGTGGGGAATTGAACCTGGGTGTTCGGCGTGACGAGCGAACGCTTTAACCGCTAGGCTACCCCCACTACCCCTGATGTACGTTGAAATACATGTAAGGGTTAAACAATCAGGTCTGTAAGTAGCAAATGACTTGTGGTGACAGAAGTCATATGGCCCTTAATGTCAATGCAAATGTGAGGGTTAGGGTTAAATAAGTAGCACACACATCTACACATCTAGAATGCATTTCTATTGATATAATAACATGCAGTAAGTTTCTAAAGTAAAGTCAACATAATACATCATGCTATGATATACTTGCTGTAGATCTAGATATATCATCATAAATTGACCATTTTCACATAAACAAGATATGACCAGAAATAAATGCAGGTGATGTTTTCAGCTTCAAACTATAATTGCTGTGAATAGCACATTAGGGTCACACTGTGGGTAGGTGGGCACTCCATCTTTACTAGTGTGCAGAATACAAAGCTTTCGTGTGATGCAAATCTAGATGAAAAAGACACATAAATCGAATTAAGTACATGAAACTGTCCTCAACAGTCTGCAGAGATGCCTAGCCTAATTAAAGATCTCATTTCCTATGAACAAGTCTAATGCTAAAACTCACCCATCATGTGACACTGTTTTGCAGAAAGACAATGTTCTGAAGTAACATTAGAGTACATGCAATCAGTTTCCTATCTGTACCTGTTAAGATACATTCACAAAGTTACTTGCTATTGTATTGGTGAATCAACGATAAATTCTCTGATATATACTCTTCAAAAAAAAGAAACTTGACTGGACAAATTTGAATTTCAGGAAAATATTGGACATAAACCAATCCATGCTGAATCCCAGCATGTGGAGGAATGGTTGCCGACGCCAAAACGTTTGAAAAAAGAAACGTTTAACAAAAACGTAATGTTACACTCACGTCTGTAGTGAATCACTAGAACCATGAAATTGTGTATGACCCTGAGCTGAAGCCTATGACAGCAGGCTTTAAAAAAGCCACATCAATGGTACTCCACAAGCATTGCTTTAAGCCACTATAGACGACAAGAGAATGAAAAGACTGACAGAGGCTCAACGACACAATGCCATCAGCCGTTTACAAGGACGGACATCGCAGCATGAGGTGGCAAGGCACTTCAGTGTGTCCAGACAGACCATCTCAAACCTATGGACCCGATACAAAAATACTGGGAGTGTTAATGAGACACCCAGGTCAGGTCGACCTGGAGTTACCATCGCCGCCCAGGATCGCTACATCCGGTTGAGACATTTTCGTTCAAACACCACAGCCCCATCATCCACAACAATTCAAATCTCTGGACTGCTCAGAATCTCCGACCAGAATCTCCGCAATTGGCAATGGAAAGCCAGACTTTTTGCCAGAAGACCAGTTCAACATCACATCGTTACCTCATCAACGTGATCTTTGGAGTATGACAATTCTCGACCTCACATTGCATGTGTTTGACAGGTCTTCCTCCAGCAAAACAATGTTCACTTGTTACCTTGGCCTTCTCGATCACCAGATTTGTCCCCATTGAACATCAATGGGATATTCTTGATCGACGCTTGTCCAAGCGTAATCCGCCACCTCAGACACTTCAAGAACTGCACACAGCACTTCAGCAAGAGTATCAAAACATTCCTCAAGACAGCACTCAGCATCTCCTTTCTTCTATGGGTCACCGCTGCCAACTGTTATCGATGCTCATGGTGGTCACACCAGACACTGACATTTTTCTCTGACCAAGTGGCTTTAATAGCCCTCTGTGGTTTTACCAAACACTCTCTGGATAATCATGTTTTGGAAATTTGTAAAGTGATGATTTTACTGTAACTGAGCAATGATGTCATGTTTGAATCAGTTATATGCACTCAGTAAGTAAACTCCAAAACAACATGTCAAGTTTCTTTTTGTTAAGAGTATACATCTTTTGCATGAAATAATTTAAAAATTGTCATTTGTGATCATACATAGGCTTAAAATTAAAACTATAACACTACAATCAAAATGGTTGACATCTCTGTAGACTGCAGTGGGTGGGTGGGTGAGCTGTATTCTGGCATATGAGGTTAAAGTGGTAAGCAGCCAGCAATGACACTGGCCATTGAGACCTCTGGTTGAACAGGATCATGGGAATGGTGTTCACAGACCAACATCACAAATCGGGGGCTCAAACCCAGTACAATAACAACTGGCACATTCAACAGAAGCAGACTTTACAGTGCTCGTATTTCTTATTTCTATCTTGCTCATGATTATGAGTAGATCATTTATTTTATTTTCATCTCAGTGTTGCTACTGTAATGTAAAAACAAATACAAACAGCACTCTAACAAGCAGCTATGCCTGTCCAATCCAACATCACTGATGGCATTGTGAACAGCACTCCATGTTCTTTGGGGCACAATGACTTGCCATCAACCAAGTCACCAAGTCTGACCAACAGAATGTTGCTTGGAACAAAACTCGTTGGGCTATTAAGGGGTGATGAATACACAATGCCATTTAGAAAGTGGTCAAATGTAACATGTTAATTTGGGATTACACTTTCTCAGTAAAGTACAGATTCTAGTACTTTTGTTGGGTTGAGTACCATCTGGCATTTGAACCCATACCCTCAGAGTCAGGCACCTAATCGCCAGCACACAAAGTCAGCCACCTAACCCACTCAGCCTCAACCTGACTCTAAGTGTGTGGGTTTGTATCTTGGATGGGACTCAACACAACAAAAGTACTAGAATCTGTACTTTGCTCAGAAAGAGTAATCCCAAATTAACATTGATATATTAAGGGGTGAGTTGAGACAGAAGTAGTATACAGTGACAAATGACATGTATAAATTGAAAAATTGATTCAGCAAGAGATGAATGGTTTAAGTACAAAGGCCTGCATAGAGACAGCATTGTCATCCATGTATTATCATACCTTGGAGCAACATCTTAATATCACTTCATAAATTTAAATTATACATAAAATCACAAATGTCAGTCAATAAGGCTGTATGTTACAAAGTAACAACCATTTCACCTAATCATTGTCTGTCCATAGCGGACAGCACACTTGTGCCTTCTGAAATTCATACCCACTGACCAAGGAATACCCGAACATTAAGATATACCCAACATAAAACTGTAACGTTTTAATTCCCAGGCTGACATTAGCTACATATAAGGGAGTAATTAATGATAATTCAGAACAAACATTCTGCCCAAAACAGCAATATTACCAATCTGTTTCTGGAACATGGCCACCATGTAACTCAAGGACCACTGAAGAAGTCCACTACACAGGGGGATGTTCAATCTACACCAATGCCTGGCTATACAAAGCTTTAAACCGAAGCTAGCAAAGTCAGTGACACACGGGACACTTTCCACTTGACATCACTACTCTCCCTAAGAACCTGTAGTTGTTCTATGAATGAATGCCCCTCACATCTTCATAATGCAGTATCAAACTGTGTCACTGATATCATTTACTTTTTTCATTTTCAATCACAAACAATATAGACAGTAAATATTAATAATAGCCAATGCAAGGTATACCTGACAGAAGGAAGCAGAACCCGTCTCTGACACAATCCGTTACCTGAACAATGTAAGCAGTACCCGACTAACTAAGCAGTGTTTCCCCCACAACACATACACCAGTTCCCAGTAGCTGGCATCACCACAAGCACCTGCCTCGCAGGGATGTCTTCTGGTGGTTCCAGACTGCTGACAATATCACAGAAATACAAAACATATTGGGTTCGTAATCCTGACAGATTCTCATATATTACCATGGATGTTGGGCATTTAATTTTGGAAAGTATAACCATTAGATTGTTTTCAGAGGAATCATTATTGATTTAATGTCATATCAGGGTAGCAATTATACTGATCTCTTATTGCATGTTACAAAATGAAACCAACATTTTTCTAAATGATGTACCGTACTTGAAAAAGTATATTGGAGCTAGCAATGAGGTATGTTGACTTCAGTTAACTCAGTTCTTCTCAAAGTGCATAATCAACAGACTCCTTGAGTTTCTTCATTACAAATGAAGGGATCAGTCTCAAGTGACATACAGACATAGCAATCACCTCTTGCAGCTGCAGCAATACAAGTTATTGTATTTAACAAATCACAACTTCTAAGCTGCATTGCAAAGTTTTATATAACTTAGGCTTTTCATAAATAACGACTTCTTTATTCTGAAGTCTAAGTCTGTCATCAACAGATGGTATTATGTTTCTGGTTTTCCAATTTATAGAAACACTGGGACAATAAACAAACGACCCATATTATATAATGCTATTGCACAACATAAAGACTGCCCGCATACTGCTGTGACAAAAGATAGTACAGAAAAACATTACTCTCCAGCCGATTGTACAGTTACCTCTGAACAGCCAGAATAGGCTGTACAATATACAGCATTAAAAGCATCAAGTTTAATATGAATAACCAAGCTAAAACCCACACATGTAGAAAGTATATTAAAAGGTCTGGTATCTGTTGTACTGGTATATGTTACAAAAGTCTGTTACAGAACAACAGGTACAAAATATCTTTCAAATCTTGAATTCAAACAAGTTACTAGATGTGACATATCCAATACATTTACATGTACATTAGCTACAGTTTGTTGAAGCTGAAGGAAAACTATAGAAGACACAGTGAAGAATATTTGACATTCTAAAACCATGGGAACTGTTTCAATGACCTTTCATACACTAATCCATTGACTCAAATTGCATAGGGAACTATTTCTTTAAAATGTTCCCTTCTTTTGTTCAAGGTGTCAATTCCCCATAAATATTACCGGTACACAATATCTTCACATGATACCACCATCTAACACCACAATTTAGCTACCACTTCAGATCATTTAAAATGTGTTCAAACCTTTAATAAAATAGCTTCACATTATCAACACCATGTTAAGAATTTTCTGTTCATGGTTTTCTGATAATGTATTCTGTCAATCAACTTGTGCAATGAAGACATAAGATATGAGATTCCTCTCACAAAATAGTTCAAGTCCTGCAGGATCTGGATGCACTGGTCACTACAAACAGACCCAGCATTTAAAGAAATAGTACTGAATATATGCGACATGTACCAAACATCAGAGCTGAAACAGTCCACCCAGGTATCATAGCAACATTTGTTTCAGATCAGCAAATCATGTATGAATATAAACAAATACATGTGAGTAAGCACATGTTTATAAATACTACTCAAACATAGCAAATCAACACAGATTGTTTTGTGATAGTTAATCTGTCTGTCCTGCAGCATAACCATTTCTGGTTTGTTCTTTAACGTCCACCTTCAGCTATATTCAGTTTGTAGCTGGGGACCGATATTTGTAACTAGAATCCCCAAGGAGATATAACTTATATCATTACACAATACATCAGAAAATTCATTGCACCAATCAAGATGCAGTCAAACCATATAATCATGATACTTGCATTCCCACTTACATCATCCAGATTATCGATCCATGGCTAAAGTGTACTACAGTGAAGCTATGTTAATCCAGACAGTACCATTTCCAGTGTTACTGTCTATATAAATAATCCAGTCATTGTTCAAATGACTGGACTGAAAATTAATGTGAGACTGTAATGTCCCTTAATTCCACATTTCATTTTTTAAACCAATCATTCAGAAGGACGGCTTTCAGATTAACAGGGTCCAATGCGATGTCACTGTATAACACTGTCTAGACTTGGTTGCCTGGAGTCCTGGAGTGCTGGAATGGATTCACAAGGTTTCAGTGAGCAGATAGACCACTGTGTAGGACTTGTAAGGCTTGAGGTGAAGCAGGGTCAGACTGACTGTTGAAATCTGCCTTGAGATTATATCTTGGCGAAGTTCTCTAATCTGGATTGCTGTCTTTGGTCGTCTGACATCATAACTCATCATGGCCCTACAACAAATAGCAGTGCATGGCATGTTACAGAATATATCACCATTAATCATCTCACAAGGCCCTACAACAAACAGCAGTGCATGGCATGTTACAGAATATATCACCATTAATCACCTCACAAGGCCCTACAACAAATAGCAGTGCATGGCATGTTACAGAATATATCACCATTAATCACCTCACAAGGCCCTACAACAAACAGCAGTGCATGGCATGTTACAGAATATATCACCATTAATCACCTCACACAAGGCCCTACAACAAACAGCAGTGCATGGCATGTTACAGAATATATCACCATTAATCACCTCACAAGGCCCTACAACAAATAGCAGTGCATGGCATGTTACAGAATATATCACCATTAATCACCTCACAAGGCCCTACAACAAACAGCAGTGCATGGCATGTTACAGAATATATCACCATTAATCACCTCACAAGGCCCTACAACAAACAGCAGTGCATGGCATGTTACAGAATATATCACCATTAATCATCTCACAAGGCCCTACAACAAACAGCAGTGCATGGCATGTTACAGAATATATCACCATTAATCATCTCAAAAGGCCCTACAACAAACAGCAGTGCATGGCATGTTACAGAATATTTCACCATTAATCACCTCACAAGGCCCTACAACAAATAGCAATGCATGGCATGTTACAGAATATATCACCATTAATCATCTCATATGTCCATGGCTCAGACAAACAATTCATGCAGAACACAAAAATGACTATTGACATGACTGACACATTTTGATGCTCATATTTTTCATGAAATAACAGAGATGGACTACTTCTATCGAGAGCTACTTCAGATATCTCTCACAACATGTCTATCATGTTGGCCATTTTGACATCCTGTGTATGATGTAAATGTTTTATGATGTACTGTCACTTTGACTGACATACTGAGGTACTGAGTAAGGTTTCATCCATGCATGGGTGGTGTTATTTGAATCTTTACGTTGTAACCCACCAACAGAACATGTTCCTGCTGAGCAAGTTGAGCAGAAATACATTCATGTACCCATCTTCTTATGAAGAACAGTTTTATTCAGCATTACAGTAGGGTGTTGTATGGCTGTCTTTGTAAACACTAAGTCACACATAGTAGATGAAATTGTGTAATGCATTCCTCAAGGTAAAAAATAGAGGTCTAAACAATTATTAGAACTGACTTCCACTTTGTGTGAGTTTATTGGAGCATGAACCATCATAGAGTAAGGAGCAAACATTCATACAGTTTAGCACTCACTCTGTGAAGGTTCATACTCCAACAAACATACACACAGGGAAAATCACTTCTTAAAAACACTCATGCATTAAACCCTCCAACCACTGGCTGAATCAGTCAGTCAGTCATTAGAAACCCTTATTCAACCAGTAATCACTTCATATAAACAGAAAATGTCTCTGAATATACAATGCCTTTTAAAAAGTGGTCAAATGTGAAACCAGTAAAACACCTAATTCAACCATTCTACCAGGACATTTAAGTATGTTCGTTTTTGATTGGCTGTCACTAAAATTTAGAAGGGAAATTTTTTCAATAACCACTTCTGAGAGCCGGTTCACTGCGCGTAGTGTCAAAACACTACGCAAGGGTAATATGTGCATATTTAAAACGCGTTTTATTCATGGTGCATATGTCATGGTAGAATGGAGATAATCCTATTGTGTTTACAGTTTGGAAGTGGTTATAGTTGGTTGAATGCTGCTAAATGTTTCATTTAAAACCTCACGCTAACGCATTCGGTTTTCAGTGACATTTAGCAGCGTTCAACTAACTATAATCACTTCCAAAATGTAAACAATAGGATTATCTCCTAAATGACTAATCATTCAACCAGTACAACAACTCTTTCAACGAATGACCACCATTCAAACCGTAAACACCTCATTCGACCAATGACCATAATTCAACCAGTACAACACCTCATTCAACCCATTGTTAGTTTTAATTTGGTAATTAAACTACATACAAAAGATCAATGAAATAAAAAAAGATTTCAGCATAAAACCTCACCATTTTTCTAGAATTCTGTTTCACAAAGTTTATTATTTCATCTGCATTTTGACTCTGGATGTCCCAACCATAAGCATGCTGAAATGGAGAAAACTGCACATTATGTACAACCACATATTGTCAAACAGCAATTGTAACACACCGAGTAAGTATAGATGAGTACTGCATTCAGTTTCATGGAACCTGTGGTATACTAGCATGAAGTCTAATTATTGATGAACTGCTGTTTGAGAAGTATTATGGTATCAATGGTGTTTGGCAAAACAAAGACTGTATATTATTGACCAAGCTACAGTGAAGCAAGATCGTCCCCTTCACAGTTAGCAATACAGTGCAATGAAATATTACAGTTATACACACACAGGGATACGGTTACACAGACACAGGGATACAGTTACACACACAAAGGGATATAGTTACACAGACACAGGGATACGGTGACACAGACACAGGGATACGGTTACACACACACAGGGATACAGTTACACACACACACAGGGATACGGTTACACAGACACAGGGATACGGTTACACAGACACAGGGATACAGTTACACAGACACAGGGATACGGTTACACAGACACAGGGATACAGTTACAAAGACACAGGGATACAGTTACACAGACACAGGGATATGGTTACACAGACACAGGGATACAGTTACACAGACACAGGGATACGGTTACACAGACACAGGGATACAGTTACACAGACACAGGGATACGGTTACACACACACAGGGATACAGTTACAAAGATACAGGGATACAGTTACACAGACACAGGGATATGGTTACAAAGACACAGGGATACAGTTACACAGACACAGGGATATGGTTACACAGACACAGGGATACGGTTACAGAGACAGGGATACGGTTACACGGACACAGGGATACAGTTACACAGACACAGGGATACAGTTACAAAGATACAGGGATACAGTTACACAGACACAGGGATATGGTTACACGGACACAGGGATACAGTTACAGAGACAGGGATACGGTTACACAGACACAGGGATACGGTTACAGAGACAGGTATAGGGATACACCGGGGATACAGTTAAGACACAGGGATACAGTTACAGAGACAGGGATACAGTTACACATACACAGGATATGGTTACGGACACAGGGATACAGTTACACACACACAGGATACAGTTACAAGACAGATACAGGGATACAGTTACACAGACACAGGGATATGGTTACACGGACACAGGGATACGGTTACACAGACACAGGGATATGGTTACACAGACACAGGATACAGTTACACAGACACAGGGATACGATTACACAGACACAGGGATACAGTTACACAGACACAGGGATACAGTTACACAGACACAGGGATACGGTTACACACACACAGGGATACAGTTACACAGACACAGGGATACAGTTACACAGAGACAGGGATATAGTTACACAGACACAGGGATACAGTTACACAGAGACAGGGATACGGTTACACACAAACAGGGATACGGTTACACAGACACAGGGATACAGTTACACAGACACAGGGATACAGTTACACAGACACAGGGATACGGTTACAGAGACACAGGGATATGGTTACACAGACACAGGTATGTGTGACAGAGATGCAGGAGAATGAGGACACAGACACCAGGGTGACATAATGTACTGAGAAAGAGGATACAGGGACGCATGTGACAGCTACTGGCCTCTTCTCACCTGAGCAGTATGTGAGTTGTCTGCCCCTTGAAAGAACCTGACGGTTGGGTAAGCTTGAACACCAACTTCCTGACAGAGCCAAGGTTCAGCATCACAGTCCACTTTTCCTGCATGTGCTACACCTTCAAGTTGCTGGTGGAGAAAATATCAGTCCAAATGACCAACACAGCCAACACAGTGGACACATACAAAACTGTAGTGTTTCCTTAAATTGTGTGCTGCAAGAGTTACAACTTTAGACACAAAAACATGATGGTTTAATCAAACTTTCTTGGAAATATGTTCTTAATTTTGTTAAAAGCATAACTCTCTGACTAGTGAAACCCACTCACCTCAGCAACCTTCTCAAACTCTGGTTTAAACACCTGGCAGTGGCCACACCAAGGAGTGTAGAACTCCACGATCCAAGACTCCCTGCTCTCCAGAACCATCTTCCTGAAGTTGTACTGCCGTAGTGTCTGCACCTTACTGGGGAGGAACTCATAGGCCCAGGCACGCAGGGATCCAGCGTCTCGATGCCACCCATTGTACATGCTGGTGACACAAACATTATTACATGAGACACAGGTTAATTTGTGTTACAATCAGCTATTTCTCAACGAAAATGAGGCAAATTTTGAAAAATCAACACTAGGTTTCACTATCTCATTAGCTGTTCACCTTCTCAATTCACCTGTGACACCTTCTCAATTCACCTGTGACTGTGACTGTTCAGCTGGATGGGAACTGACTGATCATACTGGATACTGGATGGGAGCTGACTGATCTTACTGGATGCTGGATGGGAGCTGACTGATCTTACTGGATGCTGGATGGGAACTGACTGATCTTACTGGATGCTGGATGGGAACTGACTGATCTTACTGGATGCTGGATGGGAACTGACTGATCTTACTGGATGCTGGATGGGAGATGACTGATCTTACTGGATGCTGGATGGGAGCTGACTGATCTTACTGGATGCTGGATGGGAGCTGACTGATCTTACTGGATGCTGGATGGGAGCTGACTGATCTTACTGGATGCTGGATGGGAGCTGACTGATCATACTGGATGCTGGATGGGAGCTGACTGATCTTACTGGATGCTGGATGGGAACTGACTGATCATACTGGATGCTGGATGGGAGCTGACTGATCTTACTGGATGCTGGATGGGAGATGACTGATCATACTGGATGGATGGGAGATGACTGATCTTACTGGATGCTGGATGGGAGCTGACTGATCTTACTGGATGCTGGATGGGAGCTGACTGATCTTACTGGATGCTGGATGACTGACTGATCTTACTGGATGCTGGATGGGAGCTGACTGATCTGACTGATCTTCTTACTGGATGCTGGATGGGAACTGACTGATCTTACTGACTGATGCTGGATGGGATGGAAGATGACTGATCTTACTGGATGCTGGATGGATGCTGATCATGGGATGGGAGATGACTGATCTTACTGGATGCTGGATGGGAACTGACTGATCTTACTGGATGCTGGATGACTGATCTTACTGGATGCTGGATGGGAGCTGACTGATCTTACTGGATGCTGGATGGGAACTGACTGATCATACTGGATGCTGGATGGGAGATGACTGATCTTACTGGATGCTGGATGGGAACTGACTGATCTTACTGGATGCTGGATGGGAACTGACTGATCTTACTGGATGCTGGATGGGAACTGACTGATCTTACTGGATGCTGGATGGGAGATGACTGATCTTACTGGATGCTGGATGGGAACTGACTGATCTTACTGGATGCTGGATGGGAACTGACTGATCTTACTGGATGCTGGATGGGAGCTGACTGATCTTACTGGATGCTGGATGGGAACTGACTGATCTTGGATGCTGGATGGGAGCTGACTGATCTTACTGGATGCTGGATGGGAACTGACTGATCTTACTGGATGCTGGATGGGAGCTGACTGATCTTACTGGATGCTGGATGGGAGCTGACTGATCTTACTGGATGCTGGATGGGAGCTGACTGATCTTACTGGATGCTGGATGGGAGCTGACTGATCATACTGGATGCTGGATGGGAACTGACTGATCATACTGGATGCTGGATGGGAGATGACTGATCTTACTGGATGCTGGATGGATGACTGATCTTACTGGATGCTGGATGGAGCTTGACTGATCTTACTGGATGCTGGATGGGAACTGACTGATCTTACTGGATGCTGGATGGGAACTGACTGATCTTACTGGATGCTGGATGGGAGCTGACTGATCTTACTGGATGCTGGATGGGAGCTGACTGGATGCTGGATGGGACTGATCTTACTGGATGGAACTGGGACTGACTGATCATACTGGATGCTGGATGGGAGCTGACTGATCTTACTGGATGCTGGATGGGAGCTGACTGATCTTACTGGATGCTGGATGGGAGCTGACTGATCTTACTGGATGCTGGATGCTGGATGGGAGACTGACTGATCTTACTGGATGCTGGATGGGAACTGACTGATCTTACTGGATGCTGGATGGAACTGACTGATCTTACTGGACTGGATGGGAGCTGACTGATCTTACTGGATGCTGGATGGGATGGGAGCTGACTGATCTTACTGGATGCTGGATGGGAGCTGACTGATCATACTGGATGCTGGATGGGAACTGACTGATCTTACTGGATGCTGGATGGGGATGATCTTACTGGATGCTGGATGGGAACTGACTGATCTTACTGGATGCTGGATGGAGCTGACTGATCTTACTGGATGCTGGATGGGAACTGACTGATCTGGATGCTGGATGGGAACTGACTGATCTTACTGGATGCTGGATCTTATGACTGATCTTACTGGATGGGAGCTGACTGATCATACTGGATGCTGGATGGGAACTGATGATCTACTGATGCTGGATGGGAAGATGACTGATCTTACTGGATGCTGGATGGGAACTGACTGATCTTACTGGATGCTGGATGGATGGGAACTGACTGATCTTACTGGATGCTGGATGGGAGATGACTGATCTGGATACTGGATGCTGGATGGGAGCTGACTGATCTTACTGGATGCTGGATGCTGGATGGGACTGACTGATCATACTGGATGCTGGATGGGGAGCTGACTGATCTTACTGGATGCTGGATGGGAACTGACTGATCTGATGCTGGATGGGAACTGACTGATCTTACTGGATGCTGGATGGAAGATGACTGATCATACTGGATGCTGGATGGGAACTGACTGATCTTACTGACTGATCTTACTGGATGGGAACTGACTGATCATACTGATGCTGGATGGAACTGACTGATCTTACTGGATTGGATGGGAGCTGACTGATCTTACTGGATGGGATGGGAAGTGACTGATCTTACTGGATGCTGGATGGGAGCTGACTGATCATACTGATCTCTACTGGATGCTGGATGGGAGCTGACTGATCTTACTGATGCTGGATGGGAGCTGGATGCTGGATGGGAGACTGACTGATCTTACTGGATGCTGGATGGGAGCTGACTGATCTTACTGGATGCTGGATGGGAGCTGACTGATCTTACTGGATGCTGGATGGGAGCTGACTGATCTTACTGGATGCTGGATGGGAGCTGACTGATCTTACTGGATGCTGGATGGGAGATGACTGATCTTACTCTAATCAGGATGGGATCTGACTGAACTTACTGGAAGCTGCCTGACCCAGACGTCCCTGCTGGGTACAGCCTCATGGTGGGGTAGGAGGTGATACTTTCCTGCTGGCAAAGGCCCTTGTTTTCCACACAGTCAACCTGGGCCACTTTGAGGTTATTCACATTCTTCACCATCTGCAAACAAACTGACTCATTACACATGCAACAGGGATGCTTAAGTGCGAGTGCAGTATACTGAAAAATACCCTGTGAAATACGGGGTGTGATCTATCAATAAATGCTCACTCTGTTACAGAGGAAATATGTCATCTGGACCGATATGAAATTGAGTGTGAGTAAGTGAGTGAGTTTAGTCAGAGAGCCGGACCACCCAATGAAATTGAGAACCTGTGTCTCCCTGTCTCTCTCCTATCAGTTTGGTATAAACTAAACTAAAACTGCATGTGATATATGCCATCTGTCGCACTTTCACGAAAAAACACATGACACGCCCACTTCCTTATCAACCTTTGTGAGCCTCTTCCACTCTGTGGCCAGCTACTGTCATCACACAAACACAATTACACATGACACACCCACTTCCTCACTAACCTTCGCGAGTCTCCTCCACTCTGGGGCCAGCTGCTGACAAGGGCCGCACCAGGGGGCAAAGAAGTCAACCAGAACCACCTCGTTCACCTTCTTCTGGGCCACATGTTCCCTGAACTGTTGCTGGTTCAGCTGCATCACAGGAGGGTTCAGTGTGTCCTACACAGATGGAACACTAGTTAGGTGTTTGTCAGGTTTTTAAAACTTGGTTATGAACGACAGACAAATCTAAAAATGTGGAATAGAACGAAAAAAATTCAAACTTCAAAATTGGTCATTAGAAGTAAAGAAATATCCTGTAATTCAAAATAGAGAAGTTAATTGAAGATAACCTTTTTATTGTTTTTTATTGTTTTTCAACAATAGGCAACAAGTTAGGAATAGGAAATATTACAAACTGTGAACAGTTGTTATCCCAAAATATTTTCATTTCCTTTAATTAACTACCAAATCTCTATCATCACTTTCAGTTTATTGTGTTTCCAATCTTATTTCTTCTCACTATCAAACAGACAAGGGCTGCCTTCCTAGTGACAAATCAGAACATCTATAAAATACCAAGGTATTTCTTTTTAACACAGAACACTAATATATCACTGACATAAAAACTACATTGAACTGAATAGACCATAATTAGTTCAAAATCAAACTTTTTTGACAGAGTTTGACATGGAAATATACACTTTGGGATTCATTTAAGTGGGAATGTTAATGTAATTTTTCAAGTAAAATTGATATTTTTATACTTATCCTGACTCATGATCTTTTGCTTATCTCCCTTTCCTCTTCGAATGGTAGTGGAACACTTGAATCTCTTGAAGTTCCCGCGTGGACGTAAAAATACACTCACCCATGAGTTACCTCCCTTTTGCCCTCTTCCCGCGCAAACAGTCATGTGACCAGCCTTACTTGTCACTCTCTCCTGATTTTCCACCCATGCACTTGGATCTGCTGTGAAATTCAAAGTGTCTTCAGCGGAGAGTTGGGAGGGCTTCTCGTCATGAGTCAGGATAAGTATAAAAATATCAATTTTACTTGAAAAATTACATATTTTTTCTTATCCTGACTCATGATATTTGCTTATAGAATCTGACAGATTGGTGGTGGGTCAAGCCACTTCGTGGATTCATCAGCTGTCCTTAGATACGTCCTGTATCCCCCCCCATGGGAACTGCAAAACGGCATTTCCGTGATCCTATTTTTCCAACTTCCGTTATAACTCGGGGGGACCACTTTCTTGTCTTACTTCAGTCTCAGACAAGTTGAATCATGTTGATTCATGTGGCTACAGATAAACTAGTATCTTCTTATTACTAGATATCTTATAACAACCCATAGATTATGATAAGATCTTAATCATAAATGAGTTGCGACCCCTTCACGTACAGGTAAGATCTTTACCCGTACAGGATCTTTAATCACTCATGCTAGCCTGTCCTAGACTGTGCGCATGGACTTTCAAACTAATACTTTTCCCTTAGTAAAAGTTATTAACAAGTCAACGTGATAAAAGGTGAGATTTTCCAACTCAACTTTGAGGAACGGTTAGTTGCTGTGCTACAACGAGAGGCCCAAATTGGTGAATGACTGAGAAGTCTTCAGTGGCTATGTCTCGGAGGTAGTGGTTGGCAAACACCGTGTACGACTTCCAAAAGCAGCCCTCAATAATTGTTGGTATAGAGCAATTTCTCGTGCAGAGCCAGTGTTGACACCAGTGCTCTGACTTCGTGTGGGTTGGAAGTTCTAGGAGGTTCTAGTCCTGCTGCTTTATAGGCTCTCAATATGACGGCTCTCATCAAGAACGATATCATCGTTCTTGAGACTTCTGCTGATGTCTCTGTTGATAATGGGATGAATAGGCTTGAATTTTTGTCTCCTTGTCTCAGTCTTTTGAAGATATATCTTCAGGGCTCTGACCAGACACAAGGATAGGTCTTCTATATCCTCTGGGCCGAGCATTGTAGATAGCGCTGGTACGTGGAACTGTCTATCTGGCTGACCAGGTAGTTGGTTCTTGGCAATGAAGTCCCATCTAAGTCCTAGATGAACTGCAGCATGTTGCCCCGTGTCGAATCTGGTTCAACCAAAGTCCAGCGCATAAATCTCTGATATTCGAACTGCCGTGGCTAGCGCAAGCAGGAACAGAGTCTTCTGTGTCAGCAGCTCGAAGGTAGTCTGGTCTAGAGGTTCGTAGGCATCACTCGTAAGATGACGTAGAATTACATTCAGATCCCAGGCCGGAGCTCTGAAATTCTTTTGCTGGTCCTCCAGTTTAAAAGATCTCAGCAGAGCAAGTAATTCTGGTACCTTCATCAACTTGATGCCTGTTTTCATGGTAATCACTGTACTGATGGCGGCGAGGTATGTAGATAATGTCGATTTCAGATGTCTGGTCTGTCTAAGATGACACAGGTATCCCGCCACTTGAGGATGAGTAGCTTTCATCGCAGTGAAGCCTTTCCGCCTTGCATAAGTCTCAAACTTCAGCCATTTGTCATCAAACAGGTTACGAGTACATCTGCGTAACGCTAGCATTACTGCCTTGGCTGCCCTGGCGGAGTATCCTCTTTTCTTTAAATATGTTTGATACGGTCCACACGTGTAGCTGGAACGCTGTCGGGTTCCCGTGGACTTGCTTGGTGTGTGGATGTATGAGTAGGTTCAGCCAATCTGGTAACTTAATTGTTGGACTTTTAGGTCTAGGAACCATACTCCCGCTGGCCAGTATGGTGCGACCAAAGTCAGTTGTAGCGCCTGTGTCTGTTTGATCTTCAACAGTACTTCCGGTAGTTATCTGGGGTGGAAACGCGTGAGCGTTTAGTCCTTCCCAAGATATGCTCAGTGCATCTGTTGCCCAGGCTTGAGGATCTGGAACCGGTGAGACAAACGTCTGTAGTTGTTTGTTGAACCTCATGGCAAACAGGTCTATGCAAGGGGATCCTATTTCCCTTATGATGAGCTGGATGATGAGCTGAACGCTTCTGGATGGAGCATCCATTCCGTAGGTGACGGGTGCAGTGGTCGGGAGAGAGCGTCTGCAAGTACGTTCTTGGCTCCGGGTATGTGACACGCCTTTATCCAGATGTTTGCTTCCTCTGTGATGTGGAACAACTGGAATGTGAGCTGTAGCAGGTTTGGAGACCTTGTGGATCCTTGCCGATTTATGGAGAATACCACTGTAGAGTTGTCCATGTGGACCATCAGCATTTTGTTGTTCAGCGTGCTCGACCATAGTTGTAAGGCGTTGATCACGGCATTCATCTCCAGCAGATTGATGTGAAGATGCTGCTCTATTTTGGACCACCTTCCTGATGCAACTTGATTGTTGAGATGCGCACCCCAGCCTTGTATCGTAGTGTCTACGTAGAGATGTGAGTCGAAGGCTGGCTCTTGTAAATAGGTCCCTCCGCAAACGTTCGACCTGTGTGTCCACCATAGTAGATACCTCTTGAGGTTGTCTGGCAGGAAGATAGGATCGACGCTGTCTAGATGTTTCGTCAAGAACCGTTGCAGCGGTCTTAGTTGTAACCTTCCTGTGCGAGTCAAGTCCTGTGCCGAGGTTAGTAGACCGAGTAGACCTTGCTATGATCGTAGTGTTAACGGAGTGATGACTGCTGGTGGAATCATGGCTTGTATCTTGACCCAACGATCTTCTGGGACGACAATACAATTCTGTGTTGTGATAAACCTTATCCCCAGAAATTGCAGATCTTGTTTTGGTTCCAACTCTGACTTCATAAGGTTCACCAGCCATCCTAGTTGAGTGAGCAACTTGATCGTGAAGTTCAGCTGTAGTCTGAGTTGACTGGCATCTTGGTGAACCTGAATTCTGTCGTCCAAGTAGAAGGCATTGCATAGACTTCGATGATGTAGATATGCGACTATAGTCTTGGTTACTCGTGTGAATAGCCACGGAGCCGAAGATATTCCAGGTAGGACGTTCCATTGGAAGTGCTGCCCTCTGAATAGGAATCGTAGATACTTTCTTGATTCTGGATGTATGGGGATGTGTAGATACGCATCCTGTAGGTCTATGCTGGCCATGTAATCTGCTGGACGGACAAGTTGTCTGGGTTGAGGTAGGTGGATCATTGTGAACCTCTCTGGTTTCAGTAGATAGTCTTTGTTGAATTTGGACATGTTGTAAATCAGTCTGAACTTCTCCTTGGAGTTCTTATTGGGTACTAGAAAAATTGGAAAGTAGAAGCCTGGAGTGACATGATGCTGATCTATTATCTCTACCGCCTCCTTCATAAGTAGTGAGTTGATCGATTCTTGTAGTTTGTCTGTCTGTTCCTCTGCATAGTCGAAGACCATTGGGCTGAGGGTTAGCGGAGGTGTGGCCTTGAGTTGTACTCTGTATCCTTCTCTTTGTACTTGGGAGATGTAGTCGTCCTCTAGTATTCCCCAGTTTTTCCAGTACCTTTGTAGACGTCCACCCACTGTCGACGGTTTTACAGGAACGGCTAGGGGTGGAAGACTCCAGTCGTTCCGAACCTTGATATCAACGTCTAGTTCCTCTGGATCCTCTGGAAGTGCGTCCTCTCCCTGAGTTTCCTCTGTAATTTCCGTATGGGCGACGAAAAGATCCTTTGCCGCCTCTGAAGCTGGAGTACTTCTTCTCCTTTACCTCCTGTATGCCGGAATATTTGGACTTGCTGTTATACTTTTGCAAAGTATGACGGATGACGATGGCCAGAGTATCTATGGATTTTATCATCATAACTTCTCTAGAGTCGTGCATAGCTTCCTTAGCTGCATCGTCTATTTGTCCTCCAAAGATAGTAGGCGCCTACCATGGAGCTCTCAGTAGCGGTTGGGTGAATCTGTCACTCCATGAACAGGATGCAAGTAGTCCTTGTCTGCGTAGTAAAGTGAGACCTGCAGATATAGATGCCAGATGGTCCGATAAAAAGTATTGGTCCTTCTTCTGTGTTATGAGGGCCGAATATATCATTCTATTCCTCTTCCGAACTTGTGTTCTGGAATTTATTGATCAATGCTTCATTGATGGCTCTGGACCTGGCCAACCCAAAGAAGGATCTCCTTGTAGCAATATCCAGTTGAGATAACTTTTTATCTTCCACTTTATACATCTTGTTTTGGGAGTCATTGACTAACTTTATGTTATCATCCCATTCAGGCGCCTTTGTAAATTGATCCATATGATGTAACATTAAATGATGGCAGATGCTGACTCTGGTACTTGGATGCTTTTGCGAAAGCTGTGCGTAGGTTAGAGGGTACCTTGGATATAGGTTCAATCGGCGGGATGGTGAAGGAGTCAAAGTCGTCGTAGGTGGTAGTTCATCAAACAGCTGGTCTGCTGTGACCATTGCAGGGGACGATCTAGTAGTTGTAGAAGTCGACTGAGTCGCTGATCTCGTAGGTACTTCGGGTAGAAGTAATGAGGGGTCATCAAAAACGTCTACTTCATGTGACGGTAATATCTCTTCGTTGACGGATTTCTGCTGCGTTGACTTACTAGCACGCGAAGATTTACCCTCCGATCTGGTAACAGATGCTTTCTTCTGCGACGTGGAAGAAGATGACGTCTTTTTCTTAGCTTGAGTCGGAGTCAACTACGTTGTAGCCGATCTCTTCTTGGCCCCCGTACCAGCCGACTGCCCCTGCAACGTACTTAACATAGCACCAGTATTATGAACTTCAGCAGTAGCAAGCAACATACGGCTTGTAGGCTGATCTCCTGTTTTATCAGCCGTGACCTGAGATGACTTCCTCACCCGATCCATGGCACGTCTACAGATATAAGACAAATATTGATTAAATTGAAGATTTGAAATAAATCAACACAATAAGTACAGCGCAAGCTGGAAGAACATGGTTTTGTGCACGAATTGCAATGGGGAGAGGATCAGCCACGGATAACCTATGCCTGCGAACACTGCAAGATTTCATTAAATGTAAATAAAGTTACATTACAATGAATTTATGACATAAATACAAATAATTTTTACAATTTTTTTACAAATAATACATAGTAGTTATTGCTAAATCCTTATATAGGACCTAAATAAAAAGGATATAAAGTCGTATAAGGGACTCCAGTGCTCGCCCAACCATCCGCTTGGGTGAAAAGGGAGAGAGTGACAAGTAAGGCTGGTCACATGACTGTTTGCGCGGGAAGAGGGCAAAAGGGAGGTAATTCGTGGGTGAGTGTGTTTTTACGTCTGCTTCGGGAACTTCAAGGGATTCAAGTGTTCCACTACCATTCGAAAAGGAAAGGGAGATAAGCAAAAGATCATGAGTCAGGATAAGAAAAAATAATATTATTCAAAACCATTGCTTGTTCACGGTTAAATTTGGAAGAAAACTCGATGACATAAAAGTAATGAAAATGTCTGCGTTAATGTCTTTCTCTAATTTTTCATAAAGTTACCTATTTTCTATTTAGTATACAGAGACTACTTTACACAACCACAACCAGAGTTGCTAAAACAGGGCTAGAAGAGCATTCTGATAAGGCAACACTGCATATGAAGGTCTAACACTGTTGAGGACAGCCTGAAGTGGGTAGTGACCTGTAGGAACTCTACAATGGAGTCTGCACTGTGGTGGCCATGGTACTGGTGTGGCCTGCTCTGGTTGTACAAGATGGTGGTAGGGTACGACCTGATGTTGTACTGAAACAGACAAACCCTGACTCATACTATTTGCTCTTCTCTCCCTTAACCCCAGATACAGGGGAAATATTCTGTGTTCCCCAAAATAGTAAAAACATCTCACCTGAATGCACCTCTACAGTGCACCAGCCTCCCACATGGCCAGATGATTTATACAAACCTGTAGAGGTTATGAATTCTTTGAAGAAAGTCCTCCTTGGGGTACATATAAGCATTAAAATGTCCATTTTAAATCCTACGACAGTTGTAACTATATTTTTAATAAAATATTTACAAAACAAAAAACTCGTTTTGTCTTGTGAGACCACCCCTACAGGGCCCCACCGGACCAACACAGCCAAGAGCAGGTAACTCTCGCCGTCTACCTCGTACCTCACTTTTCATGCTGAACGTGTCAGACAGAATGAGGGGAGGCGGGTGGCCTTACCCCAAGGAGGACTTTCTTCAAAGAATTCATAACCTCTACAGGTTTGTATAATTCTTTTTCAGAAGAAGTCCTCCTTGGGGTACATATAAGCATATGACAGACTCCCAAAGATATTTGAGACGGGAGTGGCATTCTGTCTGGCAACAACTAAACCCGTGGTGGAGTGAAATCTACAACCGATACGGAAATAGAAAACACCGAGCCACCTGACCGCTGATGTCAATCAGACGGGGGCGGGAACTAGAGAGCCCAAGCTTATATGTCAATTGGCTCAATATCAATGACATAAAACCCCGCCCCCAACCATTACAATGGAAGGAATGTATGGGGACATGTCGAAACAACTCCCAACCCTAATATAGCCCCAGCCAGACAATCGTGGCGAGAGGTATAAGGGTAGGGAAAGCGTAAAAAAATTTAAACGCTACAAAGCCAATAACCCAGGAGTCGAGCTAATAAGTACTGCAAACTAATGCTCGAATGCAGCCCCTGTTTGGAAGAGGGCTAGCCGGGACCTCGATAAAACCCAGAGAAATTATTAGCCTCGCTAAAACTTTCTGAGGAAATCGAACGAGTACAAACGCCATGCATTGTACGAGTGAAAAACACCCCCACCAAACACTCTCGGCGTGAGGAGGGTAAGTGTAGGCCACCATCCCACAAAGCTGATTAACACAGACTCCCAAATACCGAAGGCTCGGGAAGAGGGAAAAACTGTAAGCGTACAAAAATCCCCTGAATAGCGAAAAGCGTAGCCGAACATATGTTGGCTCACCATTACACTAACCTGGTCACGTGACATGCGGCTCGAAGAGAGGCATACCAAACAGTGCCCCGTGGGGGGTTCGCACCCAATTCCGTCGCAAGACGGGTTAATAGCATATGACTGGTTAAAGCGTTCAAAACGGACCCCGCCCTCTTGAAGGGGACGTAAGGGACGTATGTACACCCAAACCCGACCCAACCCGAAAGGATGGTAAGGCTAATACGATGTAGTGATATGAAATATATCGACATTGAACACAGAACCGATACCAATGACCAGTTACTAACTTGGTCAGGGTGGCAGGTCACTCTCCACTGGAGAGAACCGAAAGACCGAACCGAGCACGATCCTTAGAATGCGTGTCAAGTTGGTAATGGCGAATGAAGGCGTTCTGCTGGCTCCAAAGAGCGACAGAACCGATCTCTTCATTGAGCAGTGCCGCTGTGTATTGTCAACAAAGCGGCATCTGCCCTACCCAGTCTGCCTTCAACCCCTCGGGGGGAGGTAAACCGTATCATTGTAACCATACAATTACGGAAACAAGCCAACGAGATAAAGTGCGCTTGCTAGCAGACTCCCCAGTCTTCCCGCCACCAAACAGCACACATGGGTACCCGTACGGATCCCTTTTGTTCGTTCGTTCGTGACAGGCACGGGTGAGCAATCGAAAGATTGGTCCCCAGTGCGGAAGGCTGGGTAAGGGGTGGAAGTGCGATATGAGCAGTCACGTGGAAAGCAATATCGCACTGAGAGTGGTAGGTATCCGGGAGTCGAATACGGACATGATCAGTATAAAATACTGTCAGTGTCGGGTCAGTGGGAATCGCATGGATGTACCCGACCCTTCTACCAGAGTTCACCACAACAAGTAAAGTCGTCTTCCACGTCAACAAGTGAAGTGAGAGAGACGATATACTTGAAAAATTAGGGCCAGACAGCCAATTGTGAATAAGTGGCAATTTTAAGGTGGGCTGGGGTCGCCGACGAGGCGGTCGAACCCTGTTCATGCCAGCTACGACGCGATGTACGAGAGGATGCTGCCTAGGCAGAGCACCATCGAACGAGGTGTGAAACGTGGAAATAGCCATGGAGTACCCGGCAATGGTGGAGGTCATAAGGCTCTCAACCAAAACGAGGTTATAGTAACTCCAATATCCGAACTAAGTCCGCAGAATAGGGATTATGAAATCCCCCTATCTGCACACCAGCGCGCCCCACCTATCAACACACTGAACGGGTGTCGAATCCAAGGCAGAATTGTGTCTGCAACGGTTGCAGGAATTCCGTGTGTTATACCCGACAGAGGCCAAGCCACCCAGTGAATCCGAGGATTCGGGTGTGGCGCCCCGTGCAGAGTGAGAATGTCTGGCCGAAGAGGTAATTCGAATCCCGGCGTGCGGGATCGAACACCAACCTGACTGCTGTCAAATCCAGCACATTGATGTGCAGGTTGTGACTTCGTCTCAAGAGGCTGCCGGTCACCCAGAACATCGCCCTAACCCGGTAGGGATGTATCTGGCTGGACTGAGAGCGACGGTGTCTCCAGGGGTGGGGACCCTCGGAGAGACGCCTGACGTCTGTCCATCTGACTGCGTGAGGTTGACAATTCCGCCCAGTTTCGTAACTGATCGTGAGGTCCCGAGACTCAACAGTTATCTGAAACCACGATGAGTCAGTCGCCTATGTACGGGTGACAACACCGGCACTGCGATCTGGCTATCTGAGCTGTAATAAACCTCAATTTGGTGAACACCCTTGGCACCGTAATGTAGCCTAAGGAGAGCACACGAAACTGGTAGCACGTCCCGTCAAACAAGAAACCGAAGGTAAATCTTGAAATCAGGGTGCAATGGAACAAGGAGGTACGCGACCTCGAGGTCGATTGACGTGCGCCAATCCCCTGTCTCGGCAGATGAGATCACCGAGCGCGGTGTCTCCATCTTGAAGGACAGTACCTCTATAAACTTGTTCAGCTCTCCAAAAGCGCACTGAGCGTATAGTCAAACATAGCCTATAGCGCTATATAAATACCCATACATACACACATGTATGTACGTCAGTGCTCGGGTCGGCGGTTCGAGATCGAACCCCGATCCCCAACACATGGGAGTGGCCTGACAATGCAGGGCTCCCCTGGTGTAAGTGCACGGGTAGACCTCGGCGCGTCGAGGTGATCGGCAGCTCGTCACACTCAACGGCCGCTTGGCCAGGGCATCGATAGACATCAGGCCGAGACCTGAGCTAACAGCGCCGGGGATCTGCTCCGTACCGGGGCCGAAGCCCAGGTCGGTGCTAGTCCGATCTGCAGTCCCGAGACACAAGGGAGTAGCCTGGCAATGCAGGTTGCCCCTGGTGGACACAGGTAGACCTAGGAGCGCCGAGGTGATCGGCAGCTCAGTGGAACCCAGACCGGGGCGCCGAGAGGAACCTGCCGATATACAGGTTTCCCGGGCAACCCCGACTGACCACGTGGCGCCGAGGTGTCCCCGAGCTGGTCGGCGCCTAGGCGACCGCCAGTCAGGGCACCAGGGCAAAACCTGCAGGGCGAAACCTGCATCGCCGGCGCCAGGCGCTCGTGACGAACCTGAGCCCGAAGCTAGGTCGCCACAAGGTGCCGGGCGCCGAGGTGTCCTCGAGCCCACGTGGCGCCGAGGTGTCCCCGAGCTGGTCTGCGCCTAGGCGACCGCCAGTCAGGGCACCAGGCGAAGACAGGGCAAAACCTGCATCGCCGGCGCCAGGCGCCCGTGACGAACCTGAGCCCGAAGCTAGGTCGCCACAAGGTGCCGAAGGCACACCATCACCTGAGCCGAAGCCAGGATCAAGCTGCCTGGGAGGAGGCGCGTTCTCCGAGCCAGAGCTCGGGCCGCAGCCAACCCCCCCCCAGATGCGTCCGATCCACCCCCGACGACAGGCGTGCTGAGCTCCTTGCGGAACCCAGACAGCACCGTGTCAATCGGGGCGGGAATTTCACCACAGACGACACCTGGTGAACTTACCTTCGAGATCAACACTTTGCGAGCCGAGCTCCTTACGGAGCCCGGACATCGCGCTATCAATCATCGAATTGACATTATGTTGAAGAATATGTTGCTGCAATAGTGAAGCAAATTGAGTCATATTTAAGTCAGCAACATTGTTTGCGGGGGAAACGATAAAGGGATTTCCTTAGAAACCTTTTATCAAATATTATCCCCCGCCTGAAGCAGATTAGTGAAAAACATAAAATCTGCGTGTCGGAAAGAATGCGCGTGAGGCGCAGAAACCCAGACAAAAACCACAACCTCGGCCTATGAGCCACGTTGTGTGTAAACGTATGAAATATGTATCATAATACAACATAATGTAACAGGAATATTGACGCAAGGGCGTTTATTATGAGCATCCTTGATCGTCGTGAGCGTCCTCGGCTAAACACCGGAGGCACACTTTATAACCATCCTGTGGCGGTAGTGTGCATGGCACAACGCACAGGGCTTAAACTGCAACAAACAGAACCACGCCAGTGTTACTAGCAGGAACTGTGAAGCAGCAAACACATAAACACAAGTAATAGCAAGAATAATCCGCACGGGCGATATATAAATGCTACAAGCTACAGCCATTTAAATACTAAACATACAATGCAAAGCAGAAAAAAGGCTAGCCACCCCTGCGTGTACTAGTGATAGAGTAAAGTTGAGTGATACGAAACGAACACTATCAAAATTACTCAACAACGACTTACCACAAATTCGCTGAAAAGAAAGAGAATTTAGGCAAGCCTACCATATAATATGCAAACATAATATATGAACTCCCTACTACAAGCTACCAAGAACATATAGCAAGGAAACCACGATCGCGCGGTCCGCCATTTTGCCTGCCACATGGCTGGAAAACAGAGAACCCACGGCAAAGTTACAACAAAAGATGAATGAAAATATCCACATATGACGTCCATCTAACGCCCGTGCGTAGAGAAAGGAACCATACATACAGATTGAGACTCTTTTACACTCATCGTATCGGTAGGAGAGCAAACTCGAAACGAACACCACGCACGTCTATTCAACAGAACGACAGCATGAAAAGTGAGGTACGAGGTAGACGGCGAGAGTTACCTGCTCTTGGCTGTGTTGGTCCGGTGGGGCCCTGTAGGGGTGGTCTCACAAGACAAAACGAGTTTTTTGTTTTGTAAATATTTTATTAAAAATATAGTTACAACTGTCGTAGGATTTAAAATGGACATTTTAATGCTTATATGTACCCCAAGGAGGACTTCTTCTGAAAAAGAATTCTGACATTCTGCTGCTATATCAAACGCCACAAGAATTAGAGTCTTCTGAGTTAAAAACTTGCTGAAGAGGTTGAAGGACTATATTTAAGTCCTCTATCTATCATCAAGGCTGAATAATAACCACTAAAGAAGTGGCTAAAGTAGAACCTTTGAGATGTCTTGTACTTCTCAGATGACAAAAATGTAGCAGCCATAAATTTTCCGAGTCCCGTGCTGGGATTTGAACCTCGGACCTTCTGATCCGAAGTCGGACACCTTGTCCTCATGACCAAAGAGGTTAACCCCGTCAGCAAGCTGACAAGGTAAGGATGTCATCTGTGGGATGATTCCACGCCCTGCTACATACTCCCCCATTAACAGAAGGCACGTCCAGAGCCGCATAGTTGGGTACTGAGACTTATTTTGCTCAAATTTGATATGAATGTGCTCAGCCCCACGTTGGGCGGGCGCCAATGTAACGGCCATAAAATTTCCAAGTCCCATGCTGGGATTCGAACCACGGACCTTCTGATCTGAAGATTGACGCCTTGTCCGCATGACCAAAGAGTTTAACCCCGTCAGCAAGCTGACAAGGTAAAGATGTCATCTGTGGGATGACTCCACGCCCTGTTACAAAACTATTCTGCAACTTGAGGATGAGTACCCTTTGTTGCTATGAACCCCTTCAATCTTGTGAACTGGTCAAAATTCTTCTAGTTATAATCATAAAGACTTCTAGTAGACCTTTTGAGGGCTAAAGAGACAGCCTTGTCAGCTCAAGGTGAGTATTCTCTTCTGACAGTTCTTGATATGGTCCATACATGAAGTTCGAAGAGCTCATGTCTTAAGTGAGGTTGCCTTGAGCGAGGATGAGTTTTGAAACCACAATGCCATTTAGAAAGTAGTCAAATGTAACGTATGTTATATTTGGGATAACACTTTCTTAGTAAAAAACAGATTCTAGTACTTCTGTTTGGTTAAGTCCCATCCGGGATTCGAACCCACACCCTCAGAGTCAGGCACCCAGAGCGGGTTAGGTGACTGACTTTGTGTGCTGGCGATTGGGTGCCTGACTCTGAGGGTGTGGGTTTGAATCCCGGATGGGACTCAACCCAACAAAAGTTCTAGAATCTGTACTTTACTAAGAAAGTGTAATCCCAAATATAACATTCAAGGATGAGTTTGGCTAGTTTGGAAGCTTTAGACTTGGTTTTTTCTGATGATGCCATCAGACTTGGGAACTAAAGTCAGTTTGTGCAATCTTTGGTGTGACTCTTGGAATGAGCACTCATGGAGAGAATGCCTTCCCAGAATATCACTAGTGCATCGACCGACCATGCCAATGGATGAGGAACTTGAGATACGAGGGTTGTTGAATCTCGTTGCAAACAGGTCTATCAGTGGACAACAGCTACTTATGGATGTAACATCCATTCTGTTGGCAATAGCTTGTTTGTCCTGCACAGCGCAGCTGCTATCACATTTGTAGCTCCTGGAATGTGTCTTGCTCTTGCTGTTCAGTTGAGACTGTCTGTCAGTTCATACAGTTGAGAAGTCAACCGCATATTAGCCGACCTTGTTGTGCTTTGTAGGTTGATGTACAAGGCCACAACTGTGTTGTCTGTGTGGATCATCAGGAACTTGTTCTTGAGTTGTTGAGCCCAGGGAGATTTGGGCTCTGATTACCACATTAAATCCAGGCTGGTTGAAGTGAAGAGACTTCTCTTCATCAGACCACTGCCTTTCTGTCACTTCTGTGTTGAAGTGTAGGTCGTAAACTGGCTCTTGTTTACTAAGTTCCTCCACAGGTATTCGACTTGACATTAAACATCAAATTGAAAAACAATCGTTAGATATGATGCATAAAAAACCAAAAGAGATAATACAAGTCCATTTTTTTTCAAACTTCATAATCTTGATAGGACAGCTTGGAGTATAGAATAACAAAATATTTCCTCAACCATCCCGGCTGGACATGTGGCGGGCTGGTGCACATGCACGGTGGAGGGGTGCCTTCGGGTGAGATGTGTTTACTGTTTCCCCAACCATCCCGGCTGGTCATGTGGCAGTGGGTGCACCTGCGTGGTGGAGGGTGCCTTACAGAGATGTTTTTATTGTCTCCCCAACCATCCCAGCTGGTCATGTGGCAGTGGGGTGCACCTGCGTGGTGGAAGGTGTTTTTAGGTCTCCCCAACCATCCCAGCTGGTCATGTGGCGGGGTGAGATGTTTTTATTGTCTCCCCAACCATCCCAGCTGGTCATGTGGCAGGCATCTGCGCGTGGTGGAGGGTGCCTTGGGTGAGATGTTTTTATTGTCTCCCCAACCATCCCAGCTGGTCATGTGGCAGTGGGTGCACCTGCGTGGTGGAGGGGTGCCTTCAGGTGAGATGTTTTTACTGTTTGGGGGAATATAACACAGAATGTTTCCACTGTATCTCGGAAAATGCGAGAGAGAAGCAAATAGTCAGGAGTGAGAATTAGAAAAATAATTCAAATCTGTTATAGAGAGAAAATAACAAGGCCTCATTCTTAACAAATTGTTTTTGAAATTTTCTTTATCATTGTGTACATTAATTGTTGAATTATCACTTACATTGTTGCAGAGTTGGGAATGTACGGTGCAGTCGACGGTGCCAAAGTTCACATTCTCACTAAATGACTTGGCTGCTTTCCTGAACTCTGGCAGCAGTTTCATACATGGTGGACACCACTGGAAGAACAGGGTTGAAGTAAGCACAGGTTTAAAGGAACAGCAAAATAGAAGGAAGAACAGGGTAGAAGGAACAGGATATTATTTCATGGACTGACAAGTTAGATGATGTGTGTTCCCTTTACACACCTCTCTTCTGGGTTTGACAGACATGGAGTGGTCATTTCAGTCATGAAAATACATTATTCATGAGTTGTGGATTGATCTATGTACTGCTGTATTTCAATAAGACAATTAACAACAAATGTGTGTTACCCATGCACATCAAGCACATAAAGCATTCCATGATATGATGAACTTAAAGGTCGACATAATCATTTGCAGTATGACAATGATATGGAATCACATTTTACACATTGTATCACAAGTAACAAAAACTTACAGGTGCAAAGAAGTCGACAAACCAGGGATCTTGGCTGAGCACGACTCTCTGAGGGAAGTCTTGGGGCCCCAAGGCTTCCAACTTTGTGACGGCACTGTCTCGGGCAAAGGCAGCCAGGTCATGTGCTGTTAGTCGACCTGTCACAAAACAGTCTTTCATCTATTTGTCTGAGTATACCACCACATCATGGTGGAGTAATTCAGGTTAAGAACATTATGAGGTGGTGGGGTGAGCTAGTGGATTACGCGTTCACTCGTCATTCCAAACCAGAGACAATCCGCACATGGGTGTTCATCACCGTGACATTGATGAGCATTTCTAAAAGCGACGCAAATCTAAACTCACACACTATGAATGTCATGTCATCGCCCAAACCAGAACAGAACAATGTGATACCAGTGACATCCTTTAACACATAATGATATTCCACTACCAACTCCAGATTGAGAGTGAATGTTGTTTTATACCAAGTCATCAGATCACATGTTTCTGGCATTCCTTTGAGGACTCCACTCAGCAGGGCATATTGCTTCACCCTGGATGGATGGGTCGCTCATGCCACCCTCAGGTCATTAGTGTAAACAGGATCCAAATAAGAGCATGAATCAAACCAGCCATCACAAGCTAACGAAGTTGGAAAATCACAAAGTTTACTACATCAAAAGTACAACCCATGCATACCATAATACATCTCGGATCCCCCGCTCTCCTTGAACACCATGAAGGTGGGCCGCTTGACGATGTGCAGCTTCCTACAGGCCTCCCTCATCACCTCACAGTTCACTCGCCCTATCTGTTACACATAAAAAGTACACACTGACCTGCATATATTGGAGGCAGGCAACTTGCATATATTGGATGTAGTCAACTAGGGGTAGTCAACTTGCATATATTGGAGGCAGTCAACTTGCATATACTGGATGTAGTCAACTAGGTTAGTCAACTTGCATATATTAGAGGTAATCAACAAATGGCAGTCAACTTGCATATATTAGAGGTAGTCAACAAATGGCAGTCAACTTGCATATATTCAAAACAGCCAACTTGCATATACAATGTATCAAACTGCAGGTTCATAAATTGTTGTAAAATTGTTGTTTTAACTTTTCATTGTTGAAAATAATTGTAGACTTTGTAATTAGACTATTTAATAAGTACAATGTGTGGAATAAATTCTATTACTCATCAATAACTGCAGTAATGTACCACTTGTAGTCCACAATAACATAACCAAAGTAAAAGTAGACAATAGTGCTCCTATTATTACAAACTTCCTTAAAAATAATAAAGCAATTCATTTCTAGGATTCCGTGTATTTGTTTTGCAGTGCCTCTACGTTCTCTGACTGACATACATGTAAACCTACATGGAAGTCCGCCAACATCGCCGGAAGCTTCCTCAGGTCCAGATCCTGATGTCCCTCTCGGTCCACGAAGTGGATCAGCCACGCCCGGTCCTGCCCAGTCTCCAACTTCTCTCGTATTTCCTTAAAGGTCAATAGCAACTTGAAGCAAGATAACCTAGTAAGCAGTAACAAATATCTCTTCAACACCCTTAGTGAATCCGTTATTTAAAGCTGTTTTGAACACAATTTTAATATTAATGTATGAATTTTTTCTTATCCTGACTCATGATCTTTTGCTTATCTCCCTTCCCTTTTCGAATGGTAGTGGAACACTTGAATCCCTTGAAGTTCCTGAAGCGGACGTAAAAATACACTCACCCACGAGTTACCTCCCTTTTGCCCTTTTCCCGCGCAAACAGTCATGTGACCAGCCTTACTTGTCATTCTCTACCTTTTCGCCAAAGCGAATGGTTGGGCGAGCACTGGAGTCCCTTATACGGCTTTATATCCTTTTTATTTAGGTCCTATTCTTCAAAATTACGCTGTATATGGATTTGGCAATAACTACTATGTATTATTTGTAAAATATTTGTATTTATGTCATAAATTCATCGTAATGTAACTTTGTTTACATTTCATGAAATCTTGCAGTGTTTGCAGGCACAGGTTATCTGTGGCTGATTCTCACCCCCAGTGCCCTTCATGCAGAAAACCATGTTCTTCCAGCTTGCGCTGTACTTATTGTGTTGAGTTATCAAATCTTCAAATCTTCAAACCGGCAGTCTGCTGGTACGGGGGCCAAGAAGAGATCGGCTACAACGCAGTTGACTCCGACTCAAGCTAAGAAAAAGACGTCATCTTCTTCTACGTCGCAGAAGAAAGCATCTGTTACCAGATCGGAGGGTAAATCTACGCATGCTAGTAAGTCAATGCAGCAGAAATCCTTCAACAAAGAGATATTACCTCCACATGAAGTAGACGTTTTTGATGACCCCCCGTTACTTCTACCCGAAGTACCTACGAGATCAGCGACTCAATCGACTTCTACACCTACTAGATCGTCCCCTGCAACGATCACAGCAGGCCAGCTGTTTAACGAACTACCACCTACTTCTCAACGAAGTTGAGTTGCAGAACACATCAGCATTCGAGAACGCTTCGTCTACACCGCAGCAGCTTCAATCAACGCAGAACTTCGACCCGGGCGAATTTATGAGACAATTCACCAACCAGATGATGGCCATGATGGAACGTAGGTTCGAGGAAGAAGCAAAGGCTTGGCGAAGCCTCTCATCTACCTACACCATGTGCAAACCTACGGACCTGCGTGAACCTACTCCTCATAGAACTACGCCTCAAGAGAAAGGTTGGCGAACGTACACCTTTGCGAAGATCTCCACAGTCAGACGACTCTGTCATCTTAGAGGAGGATAGAAGAGATGAGATGCCTACTCACAGTTCTACATTCGCGAACCCTCAACGTTCGAGAACATGGAAGGATCCATCTCCTACACCTAGCCCCTCTAGATCGAGATCTCATATCTCTCACAGACGTTCGCAAAGTCACTCATCACGAGACAGAGGTTCGCAAAGAGAAGGCTCACATCGAAGAAGCTCGCGAAGGGATACATCTAGCAACAGACGTACGCGAAGAGATAGCTCACATCACAGAGGTTCGCAAAGAGATGAATCTACAGATAAAGGTTCGCGAAGAGAGCACTCTCAAGATAGACGATCGCATAGGGAGGAATCTTCAGATAGAGGTTCGTGAAAGGATGATGAAGGTTCGAGAAGGGATACAGGTTCGCAGATGGATGAGTCGCAGAGGCCTAGCTCTAATAATCAGGAAACTCTGGATCAGCAAGCAGACTTCACCCAGACTCAGAGGTTACAGCGTGGATTGCCAACGGGTTGAACTTGAAGTCTCCTTCTAAAGATAAAGATGAAATCTACACTTATATGATGCGTAACGACGACTTTGACTCCTTCACCATCCCGCCGATTGAACCTTTATCCAAGGTACCCTCTAACCTACGCACAGCTTTCGCAAAAGCATCCAAGAAAAAGAGTCAGCATCTTCCATCATTTAATGTGAAGAGATTCCCCTTACATCATATGGATCCATTTACAAAGACGCCTGAATGGGATGATAACATAAAGTTAGTCAACGACTCCCAAAACAAGATGTATAAAGTGGAAGATAAAAAGTTATATCAACTGGATATTGCTACAAGGAGATCCTTCTTTGGGTTGGCCAGGTCCAGAGCCATCAATGAAGCATTGATCAATAAATTCCAGAACTCAAGTTCGGAAGAGGATAGAATGATAAATTCGGCCCTCATAACACAGAAGAAGGACCAATACTTTTTATCGGACCATCTGGCATCTATATCGACAGGTTTCACTTTACTACGCAGACAAGGGAGGCTCCTACTATCTTTGGAGGACAAATAGACGATGTAGCTAAGGAAGCTACGCACGACTCTAGAGAAGTTATGATGATAAATCCATAGACACTCTGGCCAACGTCATCCGTCATACTTTGCAAAAGTATAACAGAAAGTCCAAATATTCCGGCATACAGGAGGTAAAGGAGAAGAAGTACTCCAGCTTCAGAGGCGGCACAGGATCTTTTCGTCGACCATCCGGAAATTACAGAGTAAACTCAGGGAGAGGACGCACTTCCAGAGGATCCAGAGGAACTAGACATTGATATCAAGGTTTGGATCGACTGGAGTCTTCCACCCCCAGCCGTTCCTGTAAAACCGTCGACAGTGGGTGGACGTCTACAAAGGTACTGGAAAATTTGGGGAATACTAGAGGACGACTACGTCTCCCAAGTACAAAGAGAAGGATACAGAGTACAACTCAAGGCCACACCTCCGCTAACCCTCAGCCCAATGGTCTTCGACTATGCAGAGGAGCAGGCAGACAAACTACAAGAAGCCATCAACTCACTACTTATGAAGGAGGTGCTAGAGATAATAGATCAGCATCATCTCACTCCAGGAATCTACTCCCCAATATTTCTAGTACCCAAGAACAACTCCAAGGAGAAGTTCAGACCGATTTACAACATGCTCAAATTCAACAAAGACTATCTACTGAAACCAGAGAGGTTCACAATGATCCACCTACCTCAACTCAGACTACTCGTCCGTCCAGCAGATTACATGGCCAGCATAGACCTACAGGATGCGTATCTACACATCCCCATACATCCAAAATCAAGAAAGTATCTACGATTCCTATTCAGAGGGCAGCACTTCCAATGGAACGTCCTACCATTTGGAATATCTTCGGCTCCGTGGCTATTCATGCGAGTAACCAAGCCTATAGACGCATATCTACATCATCGAGGTCTACGTAATGCCTTCTACTTGGACAACAGAATTCAGGTTCACCAAGATGCCAGTCAACTCAGACTACAGCTGAACTTCACGATCAAGTTGCTCACTCAACTAGGATGGCTGGTGAACCTTATGAAGTCAGAGTTGGAACCAAAACAAGATCTGCAACTTCTGGGGATAAGGTTTATCACAACACAGAATTGTATTGTCGTCCCAGAAGATCGTTGGGTCAAGAAACAAGCCATGATTCCACCAGCAGTCATCTCTCCGTTAACACTACGATCATAGCAAGTTCTACTCGGTCTACTAACCTCGACGCAGGACTTGACTCGCACAGGAAGGTTACAACTAAGACCGCTGCAATGGTTCCTGACAAAACATCTAGACAGCGTCGACCTTATCTTGCTGCCAGACAACCTCAAGAGGTATCTACTATGGTGGACACACAGGTCGAATGTTTGCAGAGGGACCTATTTACAAGAGACAGCCTTCGACTCACATCTCTACGTAGACGCTTTGATACAAGGCTGGGGTGCGCATCTCAACAATCAAGTTGCATCAGGAAGGTGGTCCAAAATAGAGCAGCATCTTCACATCAATCTGCTGGAGATGAATGCCGTGATCAACGCCTTACAACTATGGTCGAGCTCGCTAAACAAAATGCTGATGGTCCACACGGTCAACTCTACAGTGGCATTCTCCATAAATCAGCAAGGATCCACAAGGTCTCCAAGCCTGCTACAGCTCACATTCCAGTTGTTCCATATCATGGAGTAAGCAAACATCTGGATAAAGGCGTGTCACATACCCGGAGCCAAGAACGTACTTGCAGACGCTCTCTCCCGACCACTGCACCCGTCACCTACGGAATGGATGCTCCATCCAGAAGCATTCTGGCTCATCATAAGGGAAATTGGATCCCTTGCATAGACCTGTTTGCCACAAGGTTCAACAAACAACTACAGACGTTTGTCTCACCGTTTCCAGATCCTCAAGCCTGGGCAACAGATGCACTGAGCATATCTTGGGAAGGACTAAACACTTATGCGTTTCCACCCCCGATATTACTACCAGAAGTACTGTTGAAGATCAAACAGACACAGGCGCTACAACTGACCTTGGTCGCGCCATACTGGCCAGCAAGAGTATGGTTCCTAGACCAAATAGAAGATCTCAGAAGTCCAACAATCAAGTTACCAGATTGGCCGAACCTACTCATACATCTGCACACCAAGCAAGTCCATGGGAACCCGACAGCGTTCCAGCTACACGTGTGGACTGTATCAAAACATGTTTGAAGAAAAGAGGATACTTCGCCAGGCCAGCCAAGGCAGTAACAATAGCGTTACGCAGATCTACACGTAACCTGTATGATGACAAGTGGCTGAAGTTTGAGACTTATGGAAGGCGGAAAGGCTTCACTGCGATGAAAGCTACTCATCCTCAAGTGGTGGAATACCTGTGTCATCTTAGACAGACCAGACATCTGAAAGGTACGACATTATCTATATACCTCGCCGCCATCAGTACAGTGATTACCATGAAAACAGGCATCAAGTTGACGAAAGTACCAGAATTACTTGCTCTGCTGAGATCTTTTAAACTGGAGGACCAGCAAAAGAAGTTCAGAGCTCTGGGATCTGAATGTAATTCTACGTCATCTTACGAGTGATGCCTACGAACCTCTAGACCAGACTACCTTCGAGCTGCTGACACAGAAGACTGTTCCTGCTTGCGCTAGCCACGGCAGCTCGAATATCAGAGATACATGCACTGGACTTTGGTCGAACCGATTCGACACGGGGCAACATGCTGCAGTTCATCTAGGACTTAGATGGGACTTCATTGCCAAGAACCAACTACCTGGTCAGCCAGATAGACAGTTCCACGTACCAGCGCTATCTACAATGCTCGGCCCAGAGGATATAGAAGACCTATCCTTGTGTCTGGTCAGAGCCCTGAAGATATATCTTCAAAAGACTGAGACAAGGAGACAAAAATTCAAGCGCCTATTCATCCCATTATCAACAGAGACATCAGCAGAAGTCTCACGAACGACGATCGTTCTTGATGAGAGCTGTCATATTGAGAGCCTATAAAGCAGCAGGACTAGAACCTCCTAGAGCTTCCAACCCACACGAAGTCAGAGCACTGGCGTCAACACTGGCTCTGCACGGAAATTGCTCTATACCAACAATTATTGAGGGCTGCTTTTGGAAGTCAGACACAGTGCTTGCCAACCACTACCTCCGAGACATAGCCACTGAAGACGTCTCAGGCATTCACCAATTTGGGCCTCTCGTTGTAGCACAGCAACTAACCGTTCCTCAATGGCACTGAGTTGGAAAATCTCACCCTTTATCACGTTGGCTTGTTGATAACTTTTACTAAGGGAAAAGTATTAGTTTGAAAGTCCATGCGCACAGTCTAGGACAGGCTGGCATGAGTGATTAAAGATCCTGTACCGGTAAAAATCTTACCTGTATGTGAAGGGGTCGCAACTTATTTATGATAAAGATCTTATCATAATCTATGGATTGTTATAAGACTGACTGACTGAGTTTAGTTTTACGCCGCTTTTAGCAATATTCCAGCAATATCACGGTGGGGGACACCAGAAATGGGCTTAACACATTGTGCCCATGTGGGGAATCGAACCCGGGCCTTCGGCGTGACGAGCCAACGCTTTAACCACTAGGCTACCCCACCGCCCCGATTGTTATAAGATATCTAGTAATAAGAAGATACTAGTTTATCTGTAGCCACATGAATCAACATGATTCAACTTGTCTGAGACTGAAGTAAGACAAGAAAGTGGTCCCCCCGAGTCATAATGGAAGTTGGAAGAATAGGATCACGGAAATGCCGTTTCGCAGTTCCCATGGGGGGGATACAGGACCTATCTAAGGACAGCTGATGAATCCACGAAGTGGCTTGACCCACCACCAATCCGTCAGATTCTATAAGCAAGAGATCATGAGTCAGGATAAGAAAAAAATATGTAATTTTTCAAGTAAATTTGATATTTTTATACTTATCCTGACTCATGACGAGAAGCCCTCCCAACCTCCCCGCTGAAGACACTTTGAATTTCACAGCAGATCCAAGTGCATGGGCAGAAAATCATGAGAGAGTGACAAGTAAGGCTGGTCACATGACTGTTTGCACGGGAAAAGGGCAAAAGGGAGGTAACTCGTGGGTGAGTGTATTTTTACATCCGCTTCAGGAACTTCAAGGGATTCAAGTGTTCCACTACCATTCGAAAAGGAAAGGGAGATAAGCAAAAGATCATGAGTCAGGATAAGTATCAAAATATCAATTTTACTTGAAAAATTACATGTTTGTTGACAGATCCCTTGGAGATCTTCAGGGCTTCAGTGACCAAGGTGGACCCTTGCGACATTGAAAAGAACATGAATATAACGCTGACAAACCACAGATCATAATGATCATCCTGTCATGAATACTCTGCACAACATGCATAGCACTAGGAAGAAGTAAAGAACCAACAGATTCTTTCATACTACAAACTATACTCTGTGATATACCGGTAGTATAGCATATCTACAGCATACAGCATATATATAGTATGCTATACCTATATGAAAGTGTCATGGCAAAACATACTAACTGCCAGATTAGTCATCACATCAGCCGACTTCTTAGAAAAACTGCCAGTGTTTATGTGACATTTTATTCTGATAAAACTTTGAAATCAATCCTGAGAGCGATTGGAAGAGGTGGCAGCAACCAGATCGAACCCAATCCCAGAGGATGCATCTACAAAATTTGTTGTGATTGTGGAAGCAGCTATATTGGAGAAACTTGCCGGCCGTTCAACATAAGGCTAAAAGAACATAAAACTTCAGTTGAAAAATCTGATCTCAAATCTGCCCTCTCAGAACACATCATTAAAAATCCAAATCAGTCCATCAACTGGCAACACACTGAAATCCATCAGTAACTTCTTGAATCAATCAATTAATAAGAAGATAAGTACCCGAGATCAACAGGGATCAAGGGGTTTACCTCCCTAACGCCTGGTGTATCACCAAGAAATCATAGACTCTCAAACCACTCTGCTGTGAAAACATACTCGTTCTTATTGTAAAAACATACCCTATCATTGTATTCTTCTCTTTCATCCCACTGCATTGTTTGTACATACTTAATTATATCTCCTTCCCCCCTTGCGCTTGTATATACATATTTACATATCTGGCTTCCTGTACATCAATATATATATATACTGTATTGTTCACTATGATCATTATCCACCTGACGAAGGGGCAAGAACCAGCCCAGAAACGTTGTGTAAAATAAATCAAGAAGTTGTTATCATTAAGATTTGTCTTGTATTACTACACCAACTTCTAAATGCCTTTGAAGAATTTCATACTAACTGTTGTAATATGGAAGAATCACAGCACAACTGAGTAATTATAGTAATATGAAAATTTGATCCTTAACATTTATGGAGTAGTACACATGGTTAATATTTTTGGTCACAGAAGCCCTGAAGATATCCAAGGGATATGCCATTAATCATTAACCTTCATGTATCATCTAAATATCATGATATTGTGTCACAAGACAACACTGAGGCTATCCTGAGACGCTTATTATGAGCGTTGTCTCAGCAAAGATTGTCGGGTACAGCTTACATATAATATACTGAAAAGAGAGAAAGAATGAAAAGACTGGATGCCAGGAGATACAGGATCTAGGTTGGCCACAATGACTTGATTATCATCTTGTGACTATTTAATGCTAGTTGAGAAGTTGGATTCTCCTCTTGGTCACATCAGACATTAAGATCTGAACTCTTATGATATGTTCATGAATCAAGCAAGAGACAAACTATCTAAAGATCTCATGTTTCATTGAAGCTGCTTCCTCACCTTGAAGGTCTCCTCATCAAGCGGCGTGACATCGGGGAGTTGAGACAGGATATCCTGGGCCAACTCCTGTGCCACCAGACTAGTCAGTTCCTGGACACAACAAAACAATTGTCTGAGGTTAAACACAGTATGATTTTAGCATGGAGAGATTGTCTGCACGCAATTACTTTCAATTTCATGAACATTTTCTGAAATATCACTACACTCCACTCAGACTCGTGCCCCAAACTTCCACGCTCACCTCGGAGACCCTCCTACTCGTTGCAGCGTGACTCCGACCAATGTCAAAAATGTTTGCCTGTTGTACTCACCAGCCCCCGACCAATGTCAACATTGTTTGCCTGTTGTACTCACCAGCCCCCGACCAATGTCAACATTGTTTGCCTGTTGTACCTACCAGCCCCCGACCAATGTCAACATTGTTTCCCTGTTGTACTCACCAGCCCCCGACCAATGTCAACATTGTTTCCCTGTTGTACTCACCAGCCCCCGACCAATGTCAACAATGTTTGCCTGTTGTACCTACCAGCCCCTGACCAATGTCAACATTGTTTCCCTGTTGTACCTACCAGCCCTTGGCTAATGTCAACATTGTTTGCCTGTTGTACTCACCAGCCCCCGACCAATGTCAACATTGTTTCCCTGTTGTACTCACCAGCCCCCGACCAATGTCAACATTTTTTGCCTGTTGTACCTACCAGCCCCCGACCAATGTCAACAATGTTTCCCTGTTGTACTCACCAGCCCCCGACCAATGTCAACAATGTTTGCCTGTTGTACCTACCAGCCCCCGACCAATGTCAACAATGTTTCCCTGTTGTACCTACCAGCCCCCAACCAATGTCAACAATGTTTCCCTGTTGTACTCACCAGCCCCCGACCAATGTCAACAATGTTTGCCTGTTGTACTCACCAGCCCCCGACCAATGTCAACATTGTTTCCCTGTTGTACTCACCAGCCCCCAACCAATGTCAACAATGTTTCCCTGTTGTACTCACCAGCCCCCGACCAATGTCAACATTGTTTGCCTGTTGTACTCACCAGCCCCCGACCAATGTCAACATTGTTTGCCTGTTGTACCTACCAGCCCCCGACCAATGACAACAATGTTTCCCTGTTGTACTCACCAGCCCCCGACCAATGTCAACATTGTTTGCCTGTTGTACCTACCAGCCCTTGGCTAATGTAAACAATGTTTGCCTGTTGTACCTACCAGCCCCCGACCAATGTCAACATTGTTTGCCTGTTGTACTCACCAGCCCCCGACCAATGTCAACATTGTTTGCCCGTTGTACTCACCAGCCCCCGACCAATGTCAACATTGTTTCCCTGTTGTACCTACCAGCCCTTGGCTAATGTCAACATTGTTTCCCTGTCGTACTCACCAGCCCCCGACCAATGTCAACAATGTTTCCCTGTTGTACTCACCAGCCCCCGACCAATGTCAACATTGTTTCCCTGTTGTACCTACCAGCCCTTTGCTAATGTCAACATTGTTTCCCTGTTGTACTCACCAGCCCCCGACCAATGTCAACAATGTTTCCCTGTTGTACCTATCAGCCCTTGGCTAATGTCAACATTGTTTGCCTGTTGTACTCACCAGCCCTTGGCTAATGTCAACATTGTTTGCCTCATAGAAGTAGGTGCCGTACTCATGGTCCAAACTCCCACACAGATCCGCACTTGTGTGGCAGTTGATGCTGCCGACCCTCACTAGTTCTTCCTGGCAATGAAGAGGGAGATGAGTCAATAGCTGACTTACCAAGGTCAGGTACAGTAAGGCCAAGTGGTGTCTACTGTGCACTGAAGTGCCTGCAGATTGTGGGTCTCTGTTTCTCTATGTGTGTGTGCCTTTGTCCTGTTCACTCATCATCAATATGAATGTTTGGCAAGCATTTGAAAACATTTCTTCATATTGGCTAGACCTATATAACCATCATAATAAGTGATTTTCTCATAATATTTTAAGTTAGCTCTTTTATATATTACCATCTGTCATTTTAAGTTTGGAAAATATAGGAAATTTATGAAGTGTAGCCTTGGGAGAAAAACATTGAAGTCAGCTAAGTGTTCTCATGATATTACTTTGCAAGAACATGAACAACAGCTTTGTATTGTAACATTATAACGTATGGTATGGATTTACAACTTCTGTATTATTTACAACACATCATTTCTGGGCTACTTCTTGTCCCTTCATCAGGTGGGCAAGAAGTAGCCAAGAAACATTGTGTTATAAATAATAAAGAAGTTGTAAATACATACCATATGTTGTTATGTTACCATCCAACTTCTAAATGCCCATCAAGCATCTGAGCATTGTATTGCATGTAAGATTCTATAAAGCGAAAAGAATAGGTCACACTCGCCAGCTGACTAATGTTTTCTGATCGGCTGATGGAGTAGGTGAGGCTTGTGTTGTATTATTGCACTGAACGATGTCACTGATACTTTGAGTGTTAAACATATAAGATACAGTCAGTGAAGTTAGCATTATCATGTACTTTGTATTTTGTAAGAACTGACTTCATTACATCTTTCTAAGGAAGCATAAACGTAAAAACAACTGAAGTGCACACTTTGTGCAAACAAGAATTGAAGATTAACAGTGTAAGCACAATTTGTTTATATCTGTACCTCAACACAAAAACTATTGAAACCCACTCTTTATTAAAATCTCATTCACAGACGGATGGACATTTCCAATGGATTAATTGTTTGTGATTACACAATGAAATTTAGAAAGTGGTTAAATGCAACATATGTTATATTTGGGATTACACTTTCTTAGTAAAGTACAAATTCTAGTACTATTTTTAGTTGAGCCCTATCCGGGATTCTAACTCACAGCTTTGGGCCGTGGGAGGTACACAAAGCCCGCCGTCTAGACTACCAGTTGTCCGACTTCCATTTTTGTGGAAATCGCGGTAGCTGAGCGGGTTAGGCGGCTGACTTTGTGTGCTGGCGATTAGGTGCCTGACTCTGAGGGTATGAGTTTGACTCAAAATAGTATTAGAATTTGTACTTTACTAAGAAAGTGTAATCCCAAAAAATACATATGTTAGATTAATTGTTTGCGTAGAGATAGTGCCTACATCTCATCATGGTATCATTCAGGGATGAGAATGAAGTTTTGAGAAAAAATCTGAAAACTAGCATCTATCGGATTTAGACGATTCACAAAAATGACTCTTGGCCTTATGAAATTCCCAGAATTCTGCAGTTCCTCGAAAAATTCTCATCCCTGTATCATTAGCAAAATACACTTGAATCCCAGAATGTAAGGAATGCCTATCATTTTCCAGCTTGCTTACCAACATGGCAGCCAACTTCAAACTGGTTTTTTCCTCCAAGCAATCTGCAAATACATAATGTTCCATGTTTCATTTTCACAATATTCGCATATTGATATGAGAAAATATTTATTGATAATTAAAAGTGATAATTATCTATGAACTCCCAATCCATATAATATTTCATATTATGGAACATACGGTGCATAAGCTAATTGGCTGTCCACCTGTGACAACTTACTGATGTAAGTCGATATTAGCTTTTGACAGCTGGTGGCACACTGATTGTGCCTGATTTGCAAATACAGTGTTTGAAAATTGAATTATTGACATTCAACTTTGTAAAATGTCAGGAGTCCTTTGAATTATCATTTTTTTAATTTGTTAATATCTTATGATTTACAAAAACACTACAGGCATCATATCAATATCATCATTCATGTCACTGATACATCATATGACAGAATATGGCAAGACAATGCAATCTATACATGATGTTGCTAAACAACAGGTTTAAGTCTTTTCAAAGCAAGAAATACATATTTTGAAAGTTGATTACAGACATTAAGTTTGTTACTTGAAAATAATGAAAACACTTTGTCAAGAGCTGGGAACATGTAATAATATTGTTAACGGAGACATAATACACAGACGCCTACCTCCCCCTTCTCCACAAAAGGTAATGACCCAAGGGAGACCACTCTCATCGTCTTCCACCTCTGCCTTGAAATTTCCTTCCCAGAGCTCAACAACCTTCACCCTGAGCTGCTGCATCGCATACTTCACAAGAACCTTGGTGCTGCGGTCACCATGATACTTCTCGCGCTGCACAAACAAGAAAACTTGCAAATCAAGTCCTACCTACAGCTGATGTCCATGAGGACAGACTAGGGATCATGCACTTAAACTTTTGTCAATTTTCTATAATAAAAACCAATGTACACAATTCTTTTTTCACAACAAATTCACAATAACCTTGTCATAAATATGAAATTTCATTACTGACTGTACTAACTTATGAAACTATTTACAGATTACGTCTGTGACTTTCACTGTGACCTTGACATTTGACACAACCATTACATTATAAGTCGAGTTTGAACAAACGCATCAAGTATTTCCTGTTACAAATGGCCTCACCTGTGGGTACATGATGAGTGATAGGTAGCTACAGACAGACTCACCTTTAGGTACGTGTTGAGTGATGGGTAACTACTGACAGACACACCTGTGAGTACATGATGAGTGATTGGTAGCTACAGACAGACTCACCTGTGGGTACATGATGAGTGACTGGTAGCTACTGACAGACTCACCTATGAGTAGATGATGAGTTATGGGTAGCTACTGACAGACTCACCTGTGGGTACATAAGTGATGGGTAGCTACTGACAGACCCACCTGTGGGTACATGATGAGTGATAGGTAGTACTGACAGACTCACCTGTGGGTACATGAGCGATGGGTAACTGCTGACATATTCACCTGTAGGTACATGATGAGTGATGGGTAGCTACTGACAGACTCACCTGTGAGTACATGATGAGTGATGGGTAGCTACTGACAGACTCACCTGTGGGTACATGATGAGTGATGGGTAGTACTGACAGACTCACCTGTGAGTACACGATGAGTGGTGGGTAGCTACTGACAGACTCACCTGTGGGTACATGATGAGGGATGGGTAGTACTGACAGACTCACCTGTGGGTACATGATGAGTGATGGGTAGCTACTGACAGACTCACATGTGAGTACATGAGTGATTGGTAGCTACTGACAGACTCACCTGTAGGTACATGATGAGTGACGGGTAGTACTGACAGACGCATCTGTGAGTACATGAGTGATTGGTAGCTACTGACAGACTCACCTGTGGGTACATGATGAGTGATGGGTAGTACTGACAGACTCACCTGTGAGTACATGATGAGTGATGGGTAGTACTGACAGACTCACCTGTGTGTACATGATGAGTGATGGGTAGTACTGACAGACTCACCTGTGGGTACATGATGAGTGATGGGTAGCTACTGACAGACTCACCTGTGAGTACATGATGAGTGATGGGTAACTACTGACAGACTCACCTGTGAGTACATGAGTGATGGGTAGCTACTGACAGACTCACCTGTGGGTACATGATGAGTGATGGGTAGCTACTGACACCCTGCATGCGGCAGAGTTGCCAGTCATCCTCACAGTTCACAGCCCCGATGCGGATGACGCCTTCCAGTTGCCTGGCAACATCTCGCCACTACAACACACAAATATTGTCAGAATCTGTGCTGCAACAACATCTGAAGCACAAATATGAATGTTCACCATACAACAAGAACAAAGGCACCAATGGAATACAATATATCAGTTTCACTATACTAAATGTCATGTTATTATGAACAAACAGATTCATAAAAAACATTTTCAGTGCATACATAAAATAGAAGAGATACATAATTGTACTAGCAGATTTAACTAATTAAAATGGCATAGTAGATAAGGATGCAAGATTTACATTATGTATTTTTTAACAAGGACCAACTTGGAAGGCGATTCTTATTTGTAAATAGCTATTTTGAAATATTGCACCATAGTCTTCTCATTTATCACTAAATGGAAATTTTCACAGACTAAAGAACATGTTAGGTACTTATGAATTTATTGCATAATTAATTGCTTTATCAGGCCTTCAAGCTATATGTCAATAAGTTTGAAAACTAAGGAGAGAAATAGCAGCAAAACTGAAAACACCATCAAAAGAAGAGTCATCATGAGATGACACATCCCCACAGTCCTGTGCAATTCACAACTACAGCATGGCTACACATGGCCATGTTTGGTTCACTGGAATTCGATACCTTCAGTTCAGTGACGAAAACACTTCACCACAAAATTGATCTGTGTAGCATGTTTCTATAAGAAATATTCAACAGTTTAGGAGATTTTATCGAGAAACAAGCACAACCCCCATTTTTAGTATAACTTCAAGTTCATGTCATGAAAAATAAAATACAAAAATTAAATACTAAAATATGGATCCAGATCACCATTAGCCTCACATAGGGCTGGATTCACTGGTTTAGGAATTTTGCTCTGGAAATGGGAAAGACCATGGAGAGACAGATAGATGGAAGGACTGACATCCTGAGTGCTATATATAGAGGATATTATATGAGTGCCCATGTAGGAGTGCTTGGGAAATAACAACATTTAGGCACTCGTGTCGTAAACATAGTATGATATGGGCACGAACATAATATTCTGTTTATTACCGAAGTTGTCAAATTGAGGAAAATAAAACCAAATCTACTTTCTAACACAGGCTAACCGCCACTGTCGCCGCATGTAGAACACAACGTCACAGAAGAAAGGTGATGTCATAGCCTTGTTCATGACATCACGTCACCATGACAAGTGATATTTTGCCCTAGGGCATCGTATGAAAAATATGAACCCCAATATATTTGCCCTCGTAGGTAATAAACCCTGTTTTCCAACTGGGGAATTATGAAAATGTACTGCGACTGCAAGCCTGAGTCATGTGCAGCAGTCACTGAGAGTCTATTCATGTCCAGTAATAGGGGTGTACTTACTGTGGGTGCCAAATCATGACAGTGGGAGCAGTGTGTTGAATAGTAGTTGATGAACCAGATGTCTTCTGTGCCAGCCACTGACTGCTCTGAAATAGAGGGAGGATACATACACATGAACAGTTTTACCTCCACAACTACTTACACCATTGTCATTATTTCCATATCTACATAAAGCTGTTATTTGTGTACTTGTTGAAACAGTCTCTCATTTACCTCTGTTTAACTGTCAAAGTCAAGCTCAGGTAGGTCTATTGTTATGAGTATAGAAAACAGCCTTGTCACTTTCCCAAATGAGTGAGTGAGTTGGGTTTACATCTGCTTCCAACAGAACTCAAATTAAATCACTATGATAGTGATAGGGTGCAGATATTTAACAAGGATGGGTACTGTGCTGAAAGATTATAAGTGTAAACCGGAATTCAAACAGCCATCAAGGAGGACATACTGCCAAACCATCAAACACAGCAGATTTCCCACACAGAAGACCATGCATCCTACAGGCTGTGCCCCTCAACCCTCAGGAACACTGGGTACTGCATTGTAGTCAAGAGACAGAGTTTTAAGGTAAATAATTTGGTGTCTTTGCTTCAAATATTACATTAGCAAGAATCAAGGGCATTATACTTAATACTTACCTATTAAGGCTGTGTATTGGCAAAAGACTTACTGCAATGTATTGTCATACAGATGTATACCTGAATTGTTACCTGTATTATTAAGTACCTAACAGTGATTGACACTGATTGTACATGCAGATCATTTACAAATCCTATTTTCTACACACCAAAGTAAATACTATTAGGATTGTTCATTTGCATGGATGCAGGGGAGATAACAACATGAGAGCAGATTCTTGTTATGGCAATGAATCTCAAAGGGAATTATCCCTTGCGACTGAGTTTCTGAAACATTTAGGTAAACCGATACAAATAATAACCAAACCTATTATTCTCTCTAACCCAATCTACAGCAACACGGTGTAACATCCAATCTACAGCAACACGGTGTAACACCCAATGTACAGCAACACAGTGTAACACCCAATCTACAGCAACACGGTGTAACACCCAATCTACAGCAACACGGTGTAACACCCAATCTACAGCAACACAGTGTAACACCCAATCTACAGCAACACAGTGTAACACCCAATCTACAGCAACACAGGGTAACACCTAATCTACAGCAACACAGTGTAACACCCAATCTACAGCAACACAGTGTAACACCCAATCTACAGCAACACAGGGTAACACCCAATCTACAGCAACACAGGGTAACACCCAATCTACAGCAACACGGTGTAACACCCAATCTACAGCAACACGGTGTAACACCCAATCTACAGCAACACAGTGTAACACCCAATCTACAGCAACACAGGGTAACACCCAATCTACAGCAACACAGGGTAACACCCAATCTACAGCAACACAGTGTAACACCCAATCTACAGCAACACAGTGTAACACCCAATCTACAGCAACACAGGGTAACACCCAATCTACAGCAACACGGTGTAACACCCAATCTACAGCAACACAGTGTAACACCCAATCTACAGCAACACAGTGTAACACCCAATCTACAGCAACACGGTGTAACACCCAATCTACAGCAACACGGTGTAACACCCAATCTACAGCAACACAGTGTAACACCCAATCTACAGCAACACAGTGTAACACCCAATCTACAGCAACACAGGGTAACACCCAATCTACAGCAACACAGGGTAACACCCAATCTACAGCAACACGGTGTAACACCCAATCTACAGCAACACGGTGTAACACCCAATCTACAGCAACACAGTGTAACACCCAATCTACAGCAACACGGTGTAACACCCAATCTACAGCAACACAGGGTAACACCCAATCTACAGCAACACAGGGTAACACCACAATCTACAGCAACACGGTGTAACACCCAATCTACAGCAACACACAGGGTAACACCCAATCTACAGCAACACAGTGTAACACCCAATCTACAGCAACACAGGGTAACACCCAATCTACAGCAACACAGGGTAACACCCAATCTACAGCAACACAGTGTAACACCCAATCTACAGCAACACAGTGTAACACCCAATCTACAGCAACACAGGGTAACACCCAATCTACAGCAACACACGGTGTAACACCCAATCTACAGCAACACAGGGTAACACCCAATCTACAGCAACACAGTGTAACACCCAATCTACAGCAACACGGTGTAACACCCAATCTACAGCAACACGGTGTAACACCCAATCTACAGCAACACGGTGTAACACCCAATCTACAGCAACATGGTGTAACACCCAATCTACAGCAACACAGTGTCACACCCAATCTACAGCAACACAGTGTAACACCCAATCTACAGCAACACGGTGTAACACCCAATCTACAGCAACACGGTGTAACACCCAATCTACAGCAACACGGTGTAACACCCAATCTACAGCAACACAGGGTAACACCCAATCTACAGCAACACGGTGTAACATCCAATCTACAGGAACACGGTGTAACATCCAATCTACAGTAACACAGTATGACAGTATGTATTGTGTATTGCAATATACTGCTGTATTGGTAATACAGTGTAATATGTAGTCACGATACTTACCAAAATCGGTACGGCTGAGAGTGATTATTTCAGGATCATCATCATAGATACCTGTGATGAAAATGTACATTGCATTGTTGTATAGGAAGTTACATATAAAATGAGGAATGTTGTTTAGAGGTGTGACTAATACTGGACAGTCAAAGTGAAACAAGGAAGTAAGCCCAAACCTTCAACAGCCCCAAACTCAGCTCTTATTACAAGTCGCCTTAATAATTATTAGATGAGCAGATAGACGACAGGTTGAACAAAATTTTGATTTAGCATCATACCAGATAGTACCAAAATGTTTTGTGTTTGCAGACAATTATACATCATCGTGATAAATTCTTTGGGGGACAATTGTAGACCCTATGATCACAACTAGTTTATCGGACTGTGTGAAATGGAAGTAAGTCTGACCAAAGTTATCCTGGTACCACTGCCAGCTCTCATAGTGACGGCCCTGCTGCTTGTCCTCCAAACCTTCCTCCCCATGCATGTCATACTTCTTCCGTAGTTCATCATCCTTCAACACCTCATATGCCCTGTTGATCCGCAGAAACCTTTCATGGGCCTTTGGATCATCCTGGACAGAAATGGGTATATCTCCAAACATACTATTACTGGCTTAGGCACATTGCCTAATGTCATTCATTTCAAGGAAAAACTATCCCTTGCCAAGATGTCATATATTAGTAACAATTATGACACATTTTTTCCCTAAGGACCCTTTATATATATAACGAACAGCATGACAAAATATACGAGATATGACAGTGGCCTGTACAAGCTGGAGCCTGAGCAAGACAATACAGTTGGGGAATCATACTATCAACCAGGTCATCAAGACTGACCATGCAATCTATCAACGTTGTTTCTTTTAATTCTAATCCGTAATCTCTGAAGGTTTCAAACTTGTTCTGCTCTCATGGCTAGCAATAAGGTCGTGAAAAAACATTCCAGCAAAGGTCTTCATTGGGAAAAAAGATAAGGATTAAGTTCATTGACTTAATAATAATGAGAATATTTATAACGCGCCTTTCCCAGGCTAGATATCCTGCTCAAAGCGCACAGTCTGATCATTATTACCCCAGATAACCCAAGGTGCCTGTTAGGCGCTAGAAGGTTAATAGTCTCACGACTTATTTCACCGGGTACCCATTTCCTGCTGGGTGAACAAAGGCAATTGTGAACAAACTCACTTGCCTAAGGTGAGACCACATGTATCACATGTGCTTCGTTGTGGGGCAGGACTGAAGTCCTAGAAACTCTCAGGAGTTAAGCTGCCAATACGGTCACCCATCCAAGGGCTGTCCGAGCCCAACGTTGCTTAACTTCAACTGATTTGTGACCTGAGCGCTATGCACAGGACCACGTGCCCACCACTTAAGGACAAATTCATAATAAATATAATAAAATTCAAAAACAAAATGTTCCCTAGTTCATATAGATAGGTAGCTACTAAAAAGTATCAACAGCTGTGGAAACTGATCTTATAAATAAACTATTCACACTTTGCTAAGGATTAAATCATGGATTCAACAGAAAACTATGATCTGGGGTCAAACTTGGTTTAAGTATCTAAGCTTATTGTAAGCATGGATCCTAAGTTTCAGCAGCGTTTAAAATTCCCGCCTGCCCGACCATCCGGAACGGTCTATTTTCATCTCGGACGGTCAAATTTCAAAATTAGCCTGTCCGGTGGTCTGGTAGATATTTTTACCCCTAACAGTAAATATTCATAATATCAGACAGGATCTCTTGTCATCAGTTTGAGGTGTTTAAGGTATTATGAAAATTATGTTAAACTACTTATGATTGGAAAGTTCATGTTACGATAACCAATCACAATCATGTACTTTCAGTTTATCTATACTCGGTGCATTGCCTGTTAGTGCTATGTAGTTCATTGCGATGCCTACAAACAGTGAATGGAGCTTGGAAATAGCAGTCAAAGTTTTTTATTGTTGAAAACTGGACAGGCAAGTTTGTATCCAGACTGGTAATTAGGGCTCCTTGCCTCTAGGCAGGAGACCTATTGTAATCGTTCAGATTATTATCATTATTTATTATTCCGCTGATTTTTGTACCAAACATAACTCCTAAACCAATGCTCCGAATCGCTTACAAAAAAAATCAAACAGATGTGCACCGAGGTGTAGATATTCCCCTTAAAAATCTCTAGGCTCTAGGCCCAATAGCAAAGGGGAGATAGTTTAAAATTAATTCCAAAATTTCAAAGTTTGACAGCAAATATCTCAAGAACTAATTGTTCCAACACTTCCAAATCTCTTGTACAGATGCACAATCGAATTCCCAACAATTATGCCTGGACGGGTCAAGTCGCTAAAACGTACCGATTGGCAGTTATTTTTAGTTTTTGGCCATGTTTTTCAGCAGTTTTCTGAGTAGTTTGCTCCCCAAATGTGCAAATTCTGCACAAAAAGTGCCAGTATGATAGATGATGTCTTGGTGATTCCAGAACACTAATTGTTTTGACCGTAGACCCAAGAACAAGTGAGATACAGCCTTTTAAAGAGGGAACTATTTCTTCTCCGGAACTTCTTAAAAGGTGCATGACCCCCCGCGACCCCGGCTATATTTGGAAGATCCGCTCGCCTGTCAAAAACGTGTTCTGGCTCCGCTTTGGACGATGATTTCTAGCCCTCAGATACAATAGATAGAACTACAGCCAAGGAGCCCTCATCGTTGCCTGCAACTATATTTTATTAGAGTTAACCGTCCGGCTGTCTGGCTTGGAATTTAGGGAGTTTTAAACACTGGTTTCAGTATGTCATTTCATCTTGTGGATCCAATACCTGCTATTGACAGGTGTTGTGTACTTGTCAATGACTTGTTCCATGATATGGAAAATGGTTGATTGGTGCCATGAAAACCATTTTTATGGTTACTGATGTATCAAGTGTATAAGGTTAGATTAAAGTGAATGTTTGCCTAAAGAGGGGTTACCATATCATTATTTACCCAGTTTTAAATGGATACAATTTCAAAATATAAATCTACATTTAAGTAAAGTTGTGAATTTTTGTGATCCTTAGCAAAGTGTGAGTAGTATATATATCAAAGTTACCAGCCAGAAGCAACTTAGAACCTACCCTGACAGTTTATACATCCTATCCTGAAATATTAATATTCCTTACCAACTCACTTTGCTGGGAATTCTAGTTCAGAATTGGTGACAAGAAACAAATGGTTGCCATAACGGACAAGGTAACAAAATAACAGATCCGGCAATGTCAGGATTGTGTGTCTTTGTACCCTGGCATCGGGGATCATTGCTCATTATCATGACAATAACAATCATTAACCTCCATTAACTTTAAGCTGGATTGTAACAGTACTGGACAAGGCAAACAAACACATTTACTCTGCTAATGTGCTAGAGTTCCACACATTGTTTACAAGCATGCCAAGAACTACATTGATCTGGTATGGATGTCAACTTCTTTATTATGAGGAACACAACGTTTCTGAGTATATCCTTATTCCTTCATCAGGTGAATGAAAAGTACGAGGAAGAGAGCATATACATGTACATGTAATGACAACAAAAGTAATAAGACAACAAAGATGCAGGTTAAACAATGGAACAATTGGAAGCCTGTACTACCAGTTAATTAGTACTGAATGGATACCAAACTCAAATGGTAATTAGCTCTGAAAAGAAGCCAACATGTAACAGTTATATAGTGTATGAACAGTAGACAGCTAAAGCCAGGATTAACTGATAGGGAATAGCACCAATAGATAAACACAATGGAGATTGACAAATTGAGGCCAGAATGAACAAATAGAAAAACCAGAGCAAAATAATTAGCAATAAGTACCGATAACAATCAAACAATTATGAAAGCAATAAGTCCCAGGCACTGGGCAGGTGGGTTCCTGATATATATAGCGGTGGACTCCAATGAAAAACTCTCTTCCTTATGTGTATCACTTCTAAATGCCACTCAAAGACCTGATCTGGTATGTACACGTATGTGGATTTCAACACTGCCTATAATAAACTCTCATATACCTGAATGTCTCAAAAGATTTAGCCCTATAATGCCAATTCAGTCATATTGTCTCAGCCAAAGGCTAGGCCCAAAGCACTACAGGTCCAACAAGTCAATGTGGAAACTTACAGCATTTTTGTCTGGATGTTCTTTAACTGCAATTTTCTTGAATGCCTTCCTGATCTCCTTAGTGTTGGCACTTCGGCCAACTCCCAACAGCTCATAGAAGTCCTCTGCTGTTACTGTGTCGACAAAAGCAAGAGTAGCTACAAGCCAAACTTGTAGCCAAACACACAGAGGAGACACATCCATCGGTCCTGGTTAAGGCACAGTGGAACTGGGTTCTGTTTCAAGGTCTCGTCGCCTGGAGCATCAAACCAGAATCTCAAATTGAAACAAAAATTGCAAAAAGAATGAATAAAAAATTGAAATATGTGATACAACGCTATGAATATGTGTTTTGTTTGGCAATATATACTAGCCACATAAAGAAACTGTGCATTGTCAAAATATTATCCCAGTTGATAAGAACGATAGCAATGTCAAAGGTACATATAAACTTTAATGGAGGGATCATGAGACCATAACAAGTCGGGAGAATCTCAATTGAAAAGTCAATGACAATGACGTCACGAGTCCACAAGCGGGACAGGGGTCAAATGACCATGTCACAAGCTCAATAACGGGTATGTCCACCATCGGCATTGAGAACAGCAGTGCATCAACGACGCATAGAGCCTATCAAACGTGCAAGGAAGGCTTGTGGGATGTCACGCCAGATTCTCTCAAGTTCTGTTGCAAGGTCAAGGACGTTATCTGGCGGATGAGGAAGACGGCGTAGACGTCGATCCATCTCGTCCCAAACATGCTCTATCGGGGAGAGACCCGGTGAATTTGCAGGCCAAGGCAATACGTCAACGTTGTGGTGTTGTGGTGCAAGAAATCCATAGCAACCCTTGCCGTATGAGGGCGGGCATTGTCCTGTTGGAATGTTAACCCAGGGCCATGACGTTGCAGAAAAGGAATTGCCACAGGTCGAAGAATCTGATCCCTGTAGCCCACACCAGTTAAGTTGCCCTGAACAATCACCAAAGGAGTTCTTTGGCGTGCTGTTATTTCACCCCAAGTCATTACGGAACCACCACCAAAGCGATTCCTGTCCAAGACACAGGCCAGTGCATAACATTCTCCCACGCCTCTATAGGCACGTTGACGTCCATCACTATGTGAAATGTTAAACCTGGACTCATCTGTAAAAACAACAATTCTCCACCAAAACAAGGGTCTGCGGACATGATTTCGGCACCACATTCGGCGAGCTTGTTAATGACGTGTCAGGATAGGCCGTATGGCGGGACGGCGTGGTCTGATCCCGTGATGACATAAACGTTGTCGAACTGTGTTGGGGTGGATACGGCGAAGTCCTGGGTTGGTTCAGGCAGTCATCACTGCAGTCTGAAACCTGTGGGGAAGATGGGTCACCCTTAACCCTTATCTATCTGTCCTGTCTTGGCGTGGTTACACGTGGACGTCCAACACGTGGCCAATCGATGACGTCATTTGTGTTCTGGTAGCGTCTCACCAGTGCAGAAATGGTGTTCCGGTGGCAGTGGAAATGTGCAACCACTTGTCGTTGAGACATTCCCCCACGGACCATCCCAATGGCCTCATGACGTTGTGCAGACGTGAGCCTTGGCATGCTATGCGTTTCAATAGGCGTTTAATTTTTGGAACGATCGCAAGGGCAGGGGTTGAGCTTTCCAAAGTGACAGTATTGTGTGGCATTCATTTGCTCTGTTTCTCTTTCCCGGAATGCACGTGCAACAACGTATTGCACGTTTCAAGGACGAACCCACTGACGTCACGGAACATGGCAGGTGCATGCATGTTGGATACATGTCACTAATCTCCAAGTTTAAATCCTTATGTGTCTACACAGGTTTGATAAATTTAGATTTTCAATTTTTGTATGCACAGTTTCTTTATGTGCCTAGTATATAACCCGCACAGAGGCCATAAATGAAAGTTATCATGGCCACATTATATAAGGATCTTGCTGAGGCCAATTGTTGGCAGTCCTAGTGTGTTCAAGTCATTCAAAACTCACTTTGTAAATAAAACTCAAATTTGATTAACTGAATGCTTTGTTTTGGTTGTTTGTTATCTAAATGCAGTGGGTATTATTCCAGCTGTAAGACAGTAGTCTGCAAATAGTCCTGACCAAATATACCACAGATCTGTAAACATGGAAATTCCTGCTCATGTGTAAGATGTATGTCAGGTCAGCAGTAAAAATTACTTTAATTTCTCAAGTGTTGGGGCGGTGAGGTACCCTAGTGGACATAATGTTCGCTCTTCAGACCTTGGTTCGATTCCCCACATGTGTACAATATGTGAAGCCTATTTCTGATGTCCCTCGCTGTGATATTGCTGGAATATTGCTAAAAGCGACGTAAAACTAAACTCACTCACACATTCACGTGTGATGTCTCAAGTTCCACAGAGGCCAGTAATATTTACAATATCTGTCATTCACTGGTAATCACCAGTAGGTCATGGTGCTGAGGCCACCTTTAAACATCAGTACATTTAACACTTCCTGGTGATAATTATTAATGTACTCCTTACCAAATCAAAGAAAAGAATTAAAAATGAACAAACTGTACTAGAGCTGTGTATCGGTGCCTAAGTGGCGAGACGATATTTCCTGATACCAGTTTAATGAGGCGAGACGATATATCATGAAAGTATTGGCAATGAAACTGCGAGACGATTATCATCACGATACAGTGATGGCGATACGATACGTATCCCAATACTTTACGATTCTAAAAGCAAGACACATATGATAGACAAAATGACTGAATCTTAATTTGTTATACAGTAGAACATGTGTTACATTCACACACACTTAAAAGGCTGTTCATCTAATAAAGTTTCAGCATTTAATGCTTAAGAACTTACAATCAAACATATTCAGCATACCTTGATCTAGGTTTCCCTTGGAAAGTCGTGTTTCTGCACCAATGCTTTCACAGACAATACAAGGTTATTTATCCCAGAATCACTGAAAAAAACTCTTAAGTATGGTTTCTTAATTTATCTTCTATTTGATAACAAAGCTAAGACATCATTCATAGTTGTTAATACATGGTGTTAGTTGTCAAACAACTAAAACATGTTTCAATTACTTAAAGACAAGTCTTTTACAGTTCACAGAGATTGAAAAATGTTCACATTCTTTCACTGATACACCAACTCCGTGGTTTATGTTCACAAACAAATTCCTATAAGGTTCAGTTTGTGTTTAAAATTTAGAAGTATTTCAAAGAGAATCCCTTCCTTAAAAGTTCCTAATCCTAATGCAATACTCCTTACAACTTTAAGAAGTATTTAAGTAGTATCGGGATATATCGTCTCTTGTGGCGACACATCGATGTAACATGGACCCTTGCGATATAAATATCCTGATATATTGCCTAAATGTGTTTTGTATCGATGCACTTGTATCGCGTAGTTGATGATGCAAACATCGATACTATCGATGAATTGTTACACCACTAAACTGTACACACAATATTCACTACTTATCATGCTTATACTCATTTGCAACATTAATGCTTGTCTGCACTCTATCTACTTACCTTCTGTAATTTTAGAATACGTAATTTATTGATTTACTATGCACCTGTGCCAGTTGCTAAGGATGGTATATGAACATGCAATGAAAGCATCATGACATTCGAACACTTGTGTACAACAATAGATAACACTTAAAAGACAAAGGGTCCTCTTGTACTGCTATTTTAACTTTTCACCAGGACAAACGGTTACATGTAGATGTGCGCCAGGAAATATAACACTTGTCACTAACAATATCAGAACAATGTGAATGCCTTGACAAGTGCCATTTAAGGAAGAAAACCTCAGATTCTTATTTGGAATAGGTTGAAACTTTTAAAATATAATTAGACTTTAATTCAACTTTCACAGCTGACAGGGGTGGTGGGGTAGCCTAATGCTCTAATGCTTAAAGCGGCCGCTCGTCACACTGAAGATCTGGGTTCATTTTCAGACATGGTACAATGTGGGAAACCCATTTCTGATGTCCAAGGTGATATTGCTGGAATATTGCTAAAAGCGGCACAAATCCATACTCACTCACACACTCACAGCTGACATAACTTTAGATTTTCTTCTATGTATGTTATTTGGCAGTGCACTTGGTAGGAAAACAATGTTGTAATTGTATGACAGAATACTTGTTAAGATTCAGAAGTTCATTACGCTGGGGTTTAACAATAGTTATTTGTCAGTAATGTATTACTATCTGATGAAGGCAGTGATGTGGGCGCTGCTATAGTTAGACACTTTTGGGGTCACGGAGGGTCTGGAATCTTCAAGAATAGCATTGATTAATCTGTCATAGTGTATAACTTCCAAGGTTTTTAAGACTATGTATGGGGACATGTGTATGCCTCTGCCAAGACCAGTGGTTGTATTTTCATTTCCAATGTTCAGTATTGGATTATTTTAACCACTGCTGCTGCAAGGTGAAGATTATTATCACTAGGGGTGGGTATTGCAGAGAATTTTCAAATTGCGATATATTGCGATGCAAAAGCATATATAGCGATATGTATTGCAATATATTGCAAGAAGGGTTTTTTTAACAATAAACTACTTATAATCGAGTTAACGCCTTATTTATAAAGCAAATACACAACAAAATCACTATGCTTGATTAAGCTTTAATAAAAACTTTCAATCATGACAAAATAAGAATATAAATAATATCTGGCACAAATGAAACAAGGAAAAGAATAATTTAACAACAACAGAGTGGTTACTAGTTTGAACTACTTTCTCCACTCTAAAAAAAGCCCTGAGAGTTTAGACAGCAACTTCACCTGGTCAGGGCATATCAGTGATCATTGGTCATTAATGAGTAAATATTTAAAACATTCTGATCCAAAACATTGCATACACTTGAACAAAAATTAAGAACACAACTTAAAACCAAACTTAACAAACCAGTTAAATGTAAAATCTTTAAAGGGCATGTAGAAGTGGAATGCATAAGAAAAGCAAGATTTATGGATGTCAACTTCATTCACAATATAGAAGTTGACATCCATAAATATTGCTTTTCTCAGTTCATGTAATTTTCACCACGATCATTCCCATCACCATTACCACGATCATCAAGGTTTCCTAGTATTACGAAGTTTTCCGAATGCATGTCAAAATACCGGTTTTCGATCAGTGTATCGCAATACGTATCGTTTTCATGTCTGAACCGGTTTATACCGGTAAACCGGTTATATTACGCAGCTCTAATTATCACTGATACTATTGCTATTACATTGCTATTATATTTTAAACATCTTATAGTTTAAGCTGCCATTGTAATTGTACTGACACTGAATTGTGTAATGCCACTCTATTGTGTTCTGTACATGTAGTTACTTTGCAGTACGTTGTATTGATTTGTATAACATTTTTTGTTTTTTCTCAGTTACCAAGGTCCCAACTGTACATAAAACTTGACAAATAGCAGTGATGGGTTGTCTCTAATATACAGGTAAATCACCCCAAGAGTGGGACTTTATCACTGATTATAATCAGTCTGTTACAGCTGATATAATTTTCAGTTATTTTTTCTTCTCTGAAATCTCTAGAAACTGCAAGTGAAAACTGATTATTGCACAAAAATGAATAAATACATAATTGGATGAATATTGATTACAAATATGTTTATATGTGATTGGTTACAAATGGAGGATTCGAAAATAGGATAGAACATTTTGAGTACAGTTTAGTATGAAATTCTTGATCATAAAGCCTTAGCCAAACCCTGATGAACTAAATGCCAGCCCATTTATCTTCTGAAACATCAATATTGCTCTAAATAGCATGCAATTGCTCATTCAGTTGAAAAGGCTTTAGGCCCTGGCACCTACATTTTCTAATTTCTGAGCACAATAAGGTAATTTTTGTCATCAATCCAAGGTATGCATACAGAATATGAGAAGCAAAACATGACGGCATGAATTGATTCACATTATATCAGTAAATCAATTCATGCTATTATGATTTTGTCTACATTACAGTCAATCCTTCAGTGGCATATAACTGACTAACCTGTTGCGACTTTGTGATATGCAATGCCTACTCTTATCAGCACCACATACTGATTGAGTGAGTGAGTGAGTGAGTTTAGTTTTAAACCGCACTCAGCAATATTCCAGCTATATGGCGGCGGTCTGTAAATAATCGAGTCTGGACCAGACAATCCAATGAATGAGTGATCAACAGTATGAGAATCAATCTGCTCAACTGGGAACCAATGACATGTGTCAACCAAGTCAGCGAGCCTGACCACCCGATCCCGTTAGTCGCCTCTTACGACAAGCATGGGTTACTGAAGGCCAATATTCTAACCCGGACCTTCACGGGTCCACCACATACTGAACTCATAACTTACTGAGTGTTCTGAATAGGCAACAAGTACAAAAAACTTCTAAAAAGCCAGAACAATAGTAGCTGAGCCAAGGCTGCACTGCTTGGACCCAATTAAAAGCAGACACCTTGTGCAAAAGTTGTGCATGCGACCACCTAACTACAAAAGAAAATAACAGTCATTAGGACATTTTGGAATGTTACCTTGATTTCTTAAGTCCAGCTTCTTCATCATTGATAATTGTTACATGTAATATCTTGGATGATAGTAATGTCCTTGAATGTGAACGGGACTGCCTACCTCCAATGGACACAGTTGAGCCCAGGAAATGCACAATAACAAGTCATTTTGTATCCTGTTAGTTATGTGACGCAGTAGTTTCATATCCATTTTGTCAACTCATAACCTGGTGGTTTTCTTTTCCCTAAGTCGTGTTTTGTGAATCAGGTTGTTTTCTATCCCTGGTTTAATTCGTATCAGCTCATTCCATCATAACACAATATTGTAAATTAATTTTACTCCATTTGTTCAGTGTAAGTTTGTTTTCAAGCATGGAGATTCTTTTGTTAACCTGGCAATAAATTTTAACCAAGAGTTACAGTTTGAGATGAATACACAAAGTGGTTATGACATTATCGTCTGATAAAAAAAAATTAAAAATGGCTTGTGTTTAGGATAAAGTTATCTTTTATATGTTAGTAGGATGTTTTATATCATTCGTGTGACTAGAAAAATAATAACAGAGGTGTCTCAAGTGTGTGAAAATGTGCATTAGTTCTTATCATAATGATCATGATGATGTACAAGCTGATTAAAATGGTGCCATCTGGACGACTAACAGTTGGAGTTTTGTTTCTCTTTGAGAACATTGGTTGTTTTCTCAATATGATATGATCACAAACTTCCAAAAGGCAACTTTATCTTCAAAGACATCATGCGAGTACTTAGTCTATGTGACGCAAACTCGTTATAGGCTAGCGCAAGTAACTACTGCCGTCCAAAAACGTATGATATCCGGAAACATTGTACTCCGACAATACTGATCGTATATATTTATTCCTGCATGTAGGATGTATTCAAAACATGGTAACTATAGTTGGTAACAATAACTGCAAACTCTTATATCAATAGATATACTACTTTGGTTCCCCTACTTTATTAGAAATCGGCTTCAGAAATTACCTGAGTTAACGGAACAACTGGTGAAATCACACGGAAATAGAATGCTCCAGTCAAATCGAAACCACCGGCTCGGCAGCCCATTTGACTTATCTGTCGGGGGGGCTGGGTAGAACCGAGTGCCACTGCCTACAGCTAACCATTCCATCTTCAACTGAAGATCATCATTGTTCTATCCAAAATGAATGGCATCTACACCGACCTGTTTTACTGTTGGATTCATCGCATATCCTTACCTAAACGACTCCCCCAGAAAGACACACAATGCAGAAAATATGTGTTAGACGAGGAACCTCACATTTGAAGCAGCCGACATGTGTACATCGGAAGTTGTTATTCCACGTGTCATACGCATGCGCCATTCGGTTGGTTTTGTTAAAAATAACATTGGCTCTACTTTCGACCGAATAAGGATTTATTTATTTGACAGTCCTTGAGTGACACATAATCATGCATTCAGCGAGTGAGTGTGGATTGTTTTATTTCTGTCATATTTCAGCATTGTCAGCGGGGAACACTTTACCCATTAAAGTTACGTTCACAGGGGCTTGTAACCAGTGTGCGAAATAGTTTCCAAATTTTGCTAGCCAGTCGGGGTAGCTATGCCTGAAAGTTACTAACCCACAAAACAATTCACTAGTCCGAAATTTGAATGTAGACACGGGTTTCATCATTAAGCTGCTAATATGATGAACATTTTCATCAGGCCATAATCTTGCATGATTTAAAAGTGTATTACAACTTAACAAGTCGGAGAGAGTGATATATGTACAAAATGACCCCATGAAAATTCACTAGCCAGTTGGGCCAGTAGTGACTATGGTGATTTACTAGCCCGCCTGGAATTTTTCTAGCCACGGGCTAGCGAGCCAGTGGCTATTTCGCACACTGCTTGTAACGCTAAACATTGGCATCAAGTTATATACTGTCACTGGCGGGGTTTTAGAACTACTGTATATAGGGCAGCATTCAAAAAATTCAAAAAATCAAATATTACCATATGAATGTATCTCACTTTAATATAAATTTCACCAATCTCACTAATTGAGCACTTCCTCAAATCCTCCCCAAACATTCACTTATTGAACATTGTTGATACAGACTATGACCAAGTGTTATCAAAACACTGACCCGAGTCAGCCGAATCCCACTCTGGCTATGTGAGAGACCTGTTTTGACAGAATCTGGCCAAGTTGAGAGGACAAGTTAGCATTTTATGTTCTGTGTTTCTCATCGCCCTACCGACATTTCTAATTTTATTGCAACACCACCACCCCCCACCGCCGACTCAAACCAGGGAGACTATATAACGTAGTAGATTATCACTGCTCGAACTTAACACGTACCGCCTCGTCATATGAAATACTTTTCTGATAATCAGTCGCTGCCACAAGTCCAAAGAACGCTAGAAATTGTGATAGGAATTACAATAAATGACTGACTGACTGAGTTTGGTTTTACGCCGCTTTTAGCAATATTCCAGCAACATCACGGCGGGGGACACCAGAAATGCGCTTCTACAATAAATGAGAATCAAGAGCATTATTCAGATAATTTTGTTTTAATTAAGTTTTTCGTTGTTGTTTTTTTCCCTACCGACCCACCCATGTCCAGAAATTGGTGGCTACGTGAAACCAGGGATGATCTACAGCAGTCTTCTATTCTCCCTGGTGAATCACACAGTAGAAATGATGCCCATAAAAGGATACTAAATGACCCCGTCAATAACAGTATACATTGTATAACTTGATGACAGTGTTTAGTGTTACGAGTTCCTGTGGTTGCGTTATCATGACTGCATTGAAGAATCAGAGAAAATACGAAGATATGTCTTCTGGGAATGTACTGAGTTTAAAATCTATACCGTGTAAGTGTTGATCCACTATCAAGTGACCCGAAAGGGTGAGTGTAGGTTTACATACACGAAGATATAAACGACTACATTGAAAGAATGCAAGACGAAATATGTTTCTACTTAATCCTACGTAACACTTTGATTGAGTGGTGGCCCTCAGTTACGGCCGTGAGAAAGCGAAACTACAAGACGAGCATATCGCTTTCTCGTCTCGTGTTATCGCTTTCTCGAAGTGGTGGTGAGAACATACGATATTGACAAAATGTGTGACAGTTATACTGTGATCTTACAAAATAAATTGCCCGAGACTTACACGTCACGACTTACACGTCACGATCGTGCTCCAAGTACCTGATTTAATCAATTTACTTGTGGACATTTTTTTATATGTTCTTGAAAAAAAATGTATTTGACAACTTGTATTTTTTTCAATGATATTCATTCCGTGCTTCCATCATTACTTTTAACGTTCAGTGTGTTTAATAAACATGAATATCCATGAGCCTAATGTGTGTTGTAAAAGACGTGCATTACCCCACAGAGAGGGAAGACAAAATGAATAGGTTTGATGCGCGCTAAGATGCAAATCGACATGCAGTAGGAGATTGGTAAATTATAGCTGAAGCAGATGAAACAAAAGTCGCCCTGTTCGTACAATGAAGCAGTTAGCTGTTAAACAAATGATTAACAATTGATAAGGACTTAAATTTAAACTTAAAGACGTTGCTTTGTCATGCAAAAGGAAAGAAGCGGTTGACCACATTTCCCCATGACTCCTGTTTACGGTTAACTGGTTCTCTGGTCACGTGGACGTTTGTCCCATGTGTAAATCTCTCGTTCGGGTTTGTACATTATCTCATGGGTATAAAACAGTACACATTGCAGTCGCCCGAGAGAGTTGTCCCCCTTACATTATAGACTAAACATCGACTATATTTCAAGATCAAACACACTTCAGTCTAAATTATAACCCTATGTTAGTTCTCGCTAGATCAGGACATAGATCTGAGGACGTCCCATGATGGGTCACGTCTGAACGCCCAACCAACCAACCAATAGTGCTATAGTGGCATTTGCAGGTGATCTACGTATTAATTCATATTGGCAGATGTTTCTGACATTTTAAGCCTCGGCATGTATTTATGAGGTACTTTTAATCAGTTATTTTTTTGCAATTGCCTTCTTTATTTCTGCATTTCTCTGTTACAGAGCTGAAAAATGCACCAAGCTGCAAATAGTTAATAAATAAATTGTTTTACTAACAGGAAATGGCAGATCTGTATGCGATAAAACGAAACATATACACCATTCACACATATATTAAGACTATACATTTAAAACACGAAAGATTAAAGCACGGAAATTGAAACGGATACATTGTATATGATACACACACACACACACACACACACACACACACACACACACACACATATATATATAATAACAAAAGTCCATTTATATTGCGAATTCATCCATGCACATGCATGCTCAAAGCGCTGATATTACCCCTGGTCAACGAGTACAGAACACTCCATGTGGAGAATACAACCAGTCGCCTGTCAGGCCTCAAGGTTCAAATTCAGAGGACCATCTAATCACACTAGGGACACACACACACACACACACACACACACACACACACACACACACACATGAAAGAACAAAGAGATTTTATTTCTCATAAAACAGTGTGTGGAGGCGAGTTTGCTTCAGTGATAAATCACGATTTTTTTCTTCACTGGCGAGATTTAAGACGGCGCATGTTTACTGTCGGAGAATTGAACGTTTTGCCCAGAATTGAACGTTTTGCCCAGAATTGAACGTTTTGCCCAGAATTGAACGTTTTGCCCAGAATTGAACGTTTTGCCCAGAATTCGACAGGTTGACAGATTCTAACGTTTGGAGTCAATACTAACGAATTTTCTTGTCCACGTAATTGATATGGCCTTAGCATAATTGAACGCATTTAATCATACCAAGACCGCCATCCTTCATTGGTTTGAGCATAATAACTCTTCTTATTCTATCAGATATTTCTTTCCATACGATTTTTAAAGTATCTGATTAACATCTTTGAGAAAACATCCTGAGGGATTAGGGAGTGTTTAGAATATGTAGTTGTACTTAGATATTGTAAGAAACCCGTGAAGGTCCGGGTTAGAATTGGTCTTCAGTAACCCATGCTTGTCGTACGAGGCGACTAACGGGATCGGGTGGCCAGGCTCGCTGGCTTGGTTAACACATGACATCGGTTCCCAATTGCGCAGATCGATGCTCATGCTGTTGATCACTGGATTGTCTGGTCCAGACTCGATTATTTACAGACCGCCGCCATATAGCTGGAATATTGCTGAGTGTGGCGTAAAACTAAACTCACTCACTAACTAGATATTATAAGGGATTGATAAATATCAATCTTACCAAGTGGATTGATGCGTCTATACAGCCATCGTCTAATATTTGCTTAATTGCAAACAATTCTCGATGAAAAGTTACTTTCTGGTTTCAAGTATTCTACTTTAGCTAAACATTAGATATAGCAACTCTTAATTAAAATTTAAATACATCTATTTGAGTTCTGCATATTTAATCGATGATGGCAAAATACATTTTTTAATCATTTCAGCAGTGTGTGCAAATAAGGAAAATGAGAAAAATCAAAATGAACGAACAACACGTTCCCAAACATTTAGAAACAATCTATATCTGTTTGTATAAGCCAATGAACGCAGATGACTGAGTGACTTTCTATACAGCTGAGGGATCATCTGAAGCGGCCGTAAAACTCCCATACTCTTAGTGCCTCATCACTGCCTCAACAGTGAAAGAGAGGAAGGTCGAAGGGTTCGATCCCGCGTCATACCAAAAGATGTTATGGTCTGTTGACTGCTGAGTACGCAATGGTGAACTAGTGGCACCCATGTGATCTAAAAATGGACTCTTCTAGTTGAAGTAGTTGAAGGACAAAACGATTATTTTTATTTCTGTTACTTATCATTTTCTGATCACAATGAAATGATAATTTATTTATCTTATATCACATCATATCATCACATCATCTTCTAGTTGAAGTAGTTGAAGGACAAAACGATTTTTTTTATTTCTGTTACTTATCATCTTCTGATCACAATGAAATGATAATTTATTTATCTTATATCACATCACATCATCTTCTAGTTGAAGTGGTTAAAGGACAAAAAGAAAGCGAGTAAACAGTCTGATATATGTGTCACGGGATTTGCTGGGAAGTAGGGAGAAGGCAACTGGATAGATCTGGTCCTGTACAAGGCAGTGCAAAACATACACTTGGGTCCAGAGACTAGGGCACACATAACATGTTCCATCCATGTACACTGTTTC